CCCATGGTGCATTTGCCCGTTGGCCGTCATCATATTGCCATAGCTGTTGCCCATATAAGGAGCATCTCCGCCGCCAGTGGCTCCCGCTGTGACCATACCACCGGATCCTCCGCCACCGCCGCCTCCGTTGCCGATCGAGAGCGTCGGTATGTTCATGTGGCCGCCCCCCATGCCGTCCATATGCCCGCCGCCGTACAAGGCCGTTGGCGAGCTGCCCTTGATGGGAAAGGATATGCTGCGGCGGTACTTGGGCGACACGCCTGACATCTGCGGAATGGGCGAGATGCCGCCGCTGCTGCAGCCCGCCTGAGAGCCGTTGTACGGCGATCCTCCGCCACCACCAAGTCCTCCTCCCGGCGACGAGGGGCTGTGCGATCCTCCGCCCTCGCGGTGCTGGTGATGGTGCTGCTGCTGCTGCTGGTGGTGATGATGGTGCAGGGCACTCAGGTTCGGCGACAACTGCTGATGCTGCTGCTGCTGCTGGTGGAGCTGGGGCGGCTTGCTGAGATTGAGATTCGGCGGCAGGCCGCTGCAACTGCAGGAAGAAGGGACAACAAGATGAAGAGGCATTTACAACAATTTGGCAATTTCAGTGGATGATTTTGGGTTCTGAGATATTGTGAGTCGGTTCTGTACTCTTTGCATTATGAAAAAGGAGCAATTTGTTCAAGGATTTGCTTCGGATTCGGTTAAGTCTAGGTAAACATAATGCAATTAGTTTGGTGTTCGTTCGCTTAACCCATTGCCGCCCGGCGTTCGAAAATGAAAAATATGAAGGTATATATCAACAAACGAAACATTGAACAACTGATAAAAGTATTTGGATTAATAGGCTATGGAATTATTACGGGATATACGAGTTTGTCGTGGCCTTGCACCTATAATTTTTTTGTATATTAAGGATTTACTATACATTTTGATTATTCTACTTTTTAAAAATTGAATTGACACGCCGAAAAGTATGCTATACGTTATTTTAAAACCTAAACTGGCACCTCTGGGATTTAAAATCAGTTAAAACGGTATTCAAAAGCATGACAAATTCAGTTTTATGACTAACCGATTGGAAATATCTTATTGGCAACGAAGAAAACATTTTAGAACTTTTTTTTACCAAACTTTAATTGTTTTGAAACAGCAGCAATATTTATAGCATACTTTTTTGCACTTTTTTAATGGCTTTCGATTAGCCAATTTTAAACTAACACATGGTAAGACAATTTTCTATATTTCTTATACCAAGAAATTGAAATATGTGCCCGGACTATGCAAAGAAATTTTCATTTAAGACTTTTAAATACTTTTGTGAGTGATCTCATAACCTATCCTATTCTAAAAACCTGCTTCTCTAGCTACTCAAATCCTAAATTGCTCCTTTTTTATATTACTTTATCATTCTCGGACGTTGCTTTGGTATTATTTATATTCTTTTGAATAAACATTTTTCTCAGATATGTTGCTGTTGTTGTTGGCGCTTGGTGTAGGATTGCTGTTGCTGTGGTAAATGGTGTGGGTTGCAATTGGTGGTGGTGGTGGTGTTTGGTGGCTTTTGGTGGTTGGTGGTTGTGGGGCGAGTACTGTTTTTTTTCTGGTGGTTTGGTGGTGGCTTGGCGACATCCAATCAAAATGAAAATTTCAAGTTGCTGTTCGCTTAGGAAGTTTATTTTTGTTTTGTTTTTTTAATTATATATTTTTTTGGTTTGTTTTGGCGAAGGTTTAGCTTTTGGAGGAGGCGGCAGCTTAGTATATCTTTGGATTTGTTAGTTTGGTTTGTTAGCACACTTTAATCCTTTGATGGTATTCGATTGAAAGGGAAATCCAACACTTTCTTTAGCAGCTGCACTGACACTGAGGCGACATGTTATCTTTGTATTTTTGTTGTTGTTTTCCAAACTAAAAGGCCGAAAACAAATGGCCCAAAAAGAACGAAAGGAAAACCGAAAGAACGAAAAAGAAAAACGTGGCTTAAGACGCGACACGGTGGGCGGCAAGGGGTTAATACGAGAGTATACCAGAGTACCTAGTATGTGTGCTAATAGAAGACTAAACTAGTTCAAATGTGTATCAATTCGTTATGCCTATGTTTCGCTGCTGTTGTTGTTGCTGCTGCTGCCGCTAGTTATTTGTGTTTGTGCTCGACACGCTTACGCTAATTGTTGGACGACAGTGCATGCCAAACTGTAAGGCCACCGAGTACGACATGAAATTGCATGGAATTTTTTTTAAGCTAAAGTCAACCTAACAGGCAATCAAGGTGGGGATGATAATGAGGATGAGCATCTCTTAAGAAGTGCGAAATGTAGGTGGCTACTACGCCAGGATTCTGGCTGATTGCTGCTGCAGATGACTCTGATGCTGCTGCTGCTGCAGATGATGATGGCGACAACGACGAGGAGGATGATGAAATGTGTGTATAACAAACATGCAAGAAACGTGTACAAGTGTAAATAGATAAAAAAAACAGCAACAACGTTGATGGTAGGAGGTGGTTACACTGCGAGAATTAACTGGGAAGTCTGAATTTCACAGAAAAATCATCAGATAGCATATAAATCATGCTGTATTGTAGGGATACTAGAAATCTATTAATCAGGAAAAGGAAAGAAGTCAGTAATTAGTTTATTAGCCTGACACTTTCAGATTCTTTCAGTGTAAGTGGGGGTTGTGACGGGATGGGTTTGCTTTGGGTATCTGTAGTCTGGAACCATTTGATAAGGGCACGCGTAACAAGAGCATCGGCAAGGCAACGGTAAAGCTACCCCCCATCAGCAGCAGCAGCAACAAAATCGACACGAGGCTGGTGCGATAGCGACAGTGTTGAAAAATGCAATTATAAAATGCAATTAGCCCTCGAAACTTAATTAAAAAGGCAACGGAAATGAATACAGGAATACAGAGGCAACTCTACGTGCATACAGAGTGCTGGGAAAACGAGGCGACACAAAATAGTTAAGGCTGATGGACGGCAAAATTGAAAATCGGACAGCAAAGCTGTCTTTAAGAACGTATATATAGATATATGTACATACATTTATACATACTACACGTGCATACGATATCAGCTCACGAAAATCAATAAAGCGAATCAGGCGCAATGACGTCAAAGGGGGGAGGTACTGAGGTCTAGAAGGGAAATGGGAATGAAGGTAACATCTCAGGTAGCAAATCCAAGTTTGACTTGCTTGATTTACCCTGGCAGAGAGTATGGTAATTTGAACAAGCTAAATAAAAAAGTGTAAAGAAGGTAAATTTAACCCTCTAACAACATCAGGCGAGTTGATCCAGCCATAAAATAATAATAAGAACAAAGAATTTCATTTAAAAACAGTCGGTTAAAGAAAATCAAGGGTATTTAAATTTCGGCTTGCTTGTAGTTACTATTCCTTCTCGTTAATATTTAAAATGAGAAACGAGGAAAAGCCGCAAATGGAAATGGAGAGCATACACAAAAACAAAACTCGGCCGGGACGTGCCTCGTGACGTTGATGTCCCGTTGACGATAGACCCCTTCAGCAACCTCAACCCCCATAACCACTACCCCCGGCAGTACCGCCTACTCAGCCAGACGGGGCGGCACTTGAGCTAAAAGTTGCAGACGGTCTGGCATGGTAAAACAAATTAACAACACCTAAGTCGCGTGCCCGACTAGGATATACTCGGTAATCATACAAAAAGAAATTTAATGAAATGTAAACAAATTTCTGTGGGTTTGAAATCTTTAGAAACGGCGCTCAGAAGTATGCAGCAATAAATAAGATAATATCTTGAAATTTATTTTTGTGATGTTTTTTTAAAGAATCTTTCTTACAAATTCCAATGTCTTTTAACTTTTGACCTATTTTCCAAAAGTTTTATAGCTTTAAAATCAAAGGACTTCTTGCATTAATATTTACAAATCGCACATACCTTTGCCACCTACGATGCTACAGGGCATGAATAGAAATGTTGCATGTAGTAGGCAGCATAAACAAAGCACCCACCACCGCTGCCACCGCTTCTGATGATTCAGATCCTCCTCCAGTTAGTGCACTCCACAGATGCTCCAAACAACAACAACAAGCTTGGCGGCAATGGCGATGGCGGGTAAATGCAGTTGGTGACAAAGCAACAAAAGCAACGCAGAGAGAGAGAGAACGAAGACCGTGGTGCCGGCCGGGCAAGTTTACGGCCATTGGCAGACGGCTGCAGCCGAGAATGCATTAAAAATGCACAAGTGGCGCAGGATATATGTATGTAAATACGGGTAAAATATATATGTAGGTATGTGCATGTACAAAATCAAAGTCACAAAACTGCAGGCAAAGTAATTTGTTGTAAGGGTCAACGGTCAACGAACCTAAGGCCAAAGAGAAAAAAAAACGGGAAATATCCTAATTTAAGAAGTAAATTTAAGTTGATATTACAGGAAAATATCACTTAAGATCTGGCAAATATGTTTTCTAAGAGCCTAAGGGACTAGAAAATATTGAAAACATGGCCATCAGAGTAAAATTAAATTAATAAGTCCCTCCCTAAGCACCACATAACTACCAGCAGGGAATTTTTGTGCCTTATCAAAAAGTTTGAAATTTGTAATTTTTCCCTTAAGAATTAAAACAAATCCACCGAGGAAGCTCATAAATTTTATAAACAGCTAAACTCCAGAGGATTAGAAATATAAGTTAAATTATATTAATGATCGGAGTGGGAGCGATATGAAAATAAAAGCAAAGCTTTATTATTTTGTCGGTAAGCATGCACTTCCGATGGATTTCTATTGTGCTGAACTATGTATAAATGTAAATGTAAGTGTATTTTATTTTGTTTATGACGCATATGTAGCAACAACAACATCAACAATCAGGTTACGACGAATTCTGAACTACACACTTGGACTCGGTTAGTGTACAAGACACACATAAACATTATTTATGTTATTATTATTATCAAAATCATCGTAATAGTTAAGACCCCCTTTTGGAAAGTGTAACTAAAATGTAATAAGCCTTTTGGGCACTCACCTTTTGCGATTGAAGAAGCCACCGCCTTGCAGGAAATTGTTGCGCAGATTTACTTCGTCGTTCTGTTGATCATAAGCATAGCCATGGCATCGCAGGAGAGAGAGAGTGAACCGAGAATAAAAAGAACATTTTGCAACAGTGAGTAATACTGCCAAATGGGTTTTGCAATCGCCCATCGACGGCGGCACATCTGTTGCAAATTTTGGCAAGCGTTCCGCGTTTGCAACAGTCCGTCGTCGTGTCGGTCACATATTTATGCCGGCCCGGCCCACAAAAATAGCTCACACTTTGAATGACAAACACACACGCGACGCGATCTTCTGCCCGCTGCCAGCGAAAAACTACATAAACAAATTAAAAACACAAAACAAAAATCCTAAACCAAATCCAATCCCAATTTGGGCTGCTAAAAAGTGAAATGATTGCGGCACTGTGGCAGGGGGGCAGAAATCAAAAGCTAAGTGCTCCACTAATTTGGCCAGCCGAATTGCTAATTGGTGACCAACAGACTCGTTGACGATCGGCGGACGTATGCCGGCGCGTTCTGTACAATTTATGTTTAATTGCGGACAAACTTGGACTCGCGACGGATGAGAATGAATCATAATTTACGAAGCCTTTTATCGGAACAACAGATAAGCATGCGGTGGATACCAGGAGGGGACGAACAGAACGGAAACAAAGTATCGAGTTCATTGCCAACAGCGTCTAGATTCTAGTTCAGCGTTTGCTTTGAAATTATTTACTTTATTTTTAAGCTCAAGAGAAAATTTCACGAAAGGAAGACCCTCAGAAATGGTTTTAGCAGAAGCCAGAAGACTGGAATATCAATGCAAATTGTCAACCTAAACTAGGGTTATTTTGACAGAAAATAAAAGGAAGCTAAGATCCCTACGAATACGGATATTAAATCTTTAATAAAAACTTACGCCGAAGAGCGATGGACCGCCGCCCTGCATCTGGGGCTGCGAAGGACTGCTTGAGAGCGAGTCACAGGCGCCACCCACCACCATGCCCGTGTTGAGGCCCAGACCGTTGTTCTTCATCCCAAGCAGATGGGAGGTGGGCGAGGCATCGCCACCGCCACTGGCCCCGCCGCTGGGGCTGTGCTTGTTGTGGTGGAAGGACTGCAGGATATCATCCAGGGACTCCTCGTTGGCATTAAATCTCACGGTGATCGGTGTAGTGCTGCTCAGTCCAGGTGGCGACTTGGAGGCACCGGGCACACCACCACTACCAGCAACACCAACGCCCGCCGCATTGGCAGACGATGTGGGCGATGTGGCGGCGGACGCGGACGCGGATGTAGAGACGGACAGGTTGCTGTTGCTGCCGCTGGCACTGCTGGTGGCACTGTTGGCTGTGGAATGTAAGAATGAGTTAATCACAATTAAAACAACGGTGTAATACATACAGTTCTTGCATTTGTGTTTTCTAAAAGAGGAATGGGACTGTCCCATTTTTGACGTTCACAATTTCGAAACAAATAAAGTGTATTTATTAACTACTAACACTAACCCGGAAAATTCATGAATGACGAGTGAAGCGAGCTATTCAAGCTCGAAAGCTAAAAATGGAATGGAAAATATAGCTAAGAGATATTACTGTATGACATACAAATCTAGGAAAGTGTGATAAGTGTCTAAAATCTATTCAAAAAGGCTCAATAACGAATCTGTTATGAGCTGTCAAAAGGTGACATCTTTTTACTAGAGCGACACACCGATAATAATCTGTAATTTTGTCATTTCTCTTTTAATGGGAACCACAATATTTAAATCCTTTGATACGTTATAAATCCCTATTTATTTTAAATACATATTGGGATTCCCTACAAAATGTTTTTTACTTTTCATATCTAAATGTCTCGCTTATAATATTATCTTACTTAAAGAAATGAATAAATATCTAGTATTAATCACCATTAATCTATATTAATCACCATTTTTAAAGTAAAATCCCCATTAATCTATATTAATCACCATTTTTAAAGTAAACAAGACTCTTATCTATAAGATATAATTTGCTTAACATAACTCCAAGATATAATTACTGTTTATAATCTATAATTTTTTCTACGCTTCTAACAATTTATAATGACTCATAAACATACATTTCGGGGACCTGGCTTATCAATTTGATTTGGTTAAATGAGCTATTCCTTATCTTTTCCTATTTTTATAGAACAAAAACGAAACGTGCTAGCTGAGTACATATCAAACTGTTATGATATACGTGTAAAAACTCAGTGACAACATTTAAGTCCTCTCAAAGACCTCTCATGACACCTCTTTAGCCAACGTGGACACACTTACCCTTTGGTAACTTGAGCGAGTCCATGGTGCCCGCACCAAAGCTTTCTAAGGCTGCACTTGGGCGGATCCGCTGCGCCTCAGTTCCGCTGCTGCCCTAGATGCCCTGCACACAGAAAGTGGAGCAGGTGGGGGACGAGTTCGAAATCGGAATGGGAATCCAGCAGGGAAATCCGAGTGTCCAAAACATCAATCGGCGACGGCAAATGAAAAGATAATGAAAGAGAAAGGGAAATGTTAGCTGGGCAGAAATACATAGTTGAAGCGACGATAGGTTCATCATATTTTCCGCTGAACACTTGCTGTTGTTTTGTTCAAAATGTCAACGCCATGCGTTCGTGGAAACGAGCCCCCTGCTACGCCCCTCGCAGCCCAGCATTTAGACCCGCACGTAATTGCGTTTAAAAATAAATAAATCGTACAGGAAAGCGAGAAAAAGCAACAGCAACAGCAGCAGCAGCAAGGCAGCAATAGCTCTTTGACATTAATTTTTATTTTCCTATTTTTAAAACCCTTAATACATTTTTGCCGCTGCTGACCGTTTGGCCGATTGTCGCGCCGCCAGCTCATCACAAAATCATTCTAAAAATTAAATTTTTACCCTCAAAGCTGAAAGTGAAATGAGTTGCACACTTCCAGCTTATATTAGTATTAAGCTTTGCCAAAAATGAGGTCAGTCAGGCACTTTATAGTAACCACAATTATATAGGTCAAAGTCAAGTCATTTTTAGATGGGGCTCAAAATTAGGAATTGAAAATAAAACAATGTTGGATTTATACAAATGGCTATAAATACGGAATTATTGCTTCATAATGGACAGAGAAAATATAGGATTTAAATAAATAATATCACATTTGACTACTAAAAATATATTTAAACAAAATAATCAATTATTGATATACTTCCTGCTTACAGAAGAGTCCCCAATTTAGCTCGTTTTATGGCCAAGAAACTGACTGATGGTATTGGTAATGGCGTTTCTATGAGACTGGCCAACTTTTATGGCCAACAAAAAAGGGTACTATCACTCCACGTTCGCCTTATATCGGGCTAACAACAAAAAAGCCGCGATAAAATGGGCCATAAAATGTGCAGTGCGTGTTGTGGGGAACAGCCGAACAGCAATCAATCATATTATTGATAAAAAAAAAGAGTCTTGGCAAGCGACAGAACAGAAATAACACACACCAAATTTTGTTGTTATTTTTTCTAAACTTTTGCGTTTCGTATTTTGTGCATGAGTAATAAATGTGTGTAGATATGGCCTGATAATGGGGTAGCGAGTTCTAAATTTGTAGCGCTATTCAAGTGAAAACAGACTGCTGGGGGGATTACAATTGATCGCTTTTCCAATTACAAAGCCACCCCCGAGGGCAAATGATTTTCAGAGCCCGCTGTGCTGGCCGTTCCCAATGTCGGTCAAATATGCTGCCCGTTTTGCATACAAACTATACAGCATATATTTATACACCACAAGAAAATGGGGGAAAATATGTAAAATGCAACAGCAGGAACTTTTAAAAATTATTTTCTTTAACATTTTCTGATAAATAACTTAAATAAAATAAATAATTGCTTCGGTGGGAAGTAACTATTGCATAAATTTGGGTGACATTATTAAGATTCAAACGATTAAATAACTAAAAATTTGATATATGTACATATTCATAATAATTTTTTGTTATTTTGTTAATACATGTTAAAAATATATAATTTTAAAATAATTTAAAACAGTGTTCAAAATCACTTTTATTAAATAACTTGTTTGTTAAGGTCTGTACATTCTGTAGCCTACTTATGCGCATTTTATAAGGAGATACAAAAACATTACGAATTTCAATGAAAAACATCAATTTTACCTAAAAAAAAAATATATCAATATTTTCGTTCCGTGTTTTACAATATCCAATTTCTAGTGCTTACCGCCGACGTCCGCTATCCGTCCCTGGACACGCACTTCATTTTGGGCTGAGCGACCGGAAAACGTCTATTGTTCGGAGGAAAAACAAAAGGGGGAAGACCAGTGTGGACTGACTACGGGCAGCGGGGCTTAATTAGTTAAATGCGGAGACAACAAAATCGTTGTGCCAATGAAATGGCTCACTCGGGCATGAAAATTTCAACCGCAAGTGCCCCAGTCCAGCCCCAGTATCAGCTCCACTCCTTCTCCATCCACGAAAGAAAATGGAGACGAAGTCCTGGCAGAAGGAAAATAAAGCTGGCATAATCAATACATAATTTTGCCCTACAAACGAGACGACGAAAGCGACCCCCAAAAAATAGCCGAAGAAGAAACGACGACTGCGACGACGAACGCACAGCAATAACAACAATGACAGTAACGCCCCCGTGGCACACACATACACACAAAACACTGGCACACACACACACACTTGAAAAGTAAACAAGTGTAATGTGCCGCCAAAAGCACAGACTGCTTGGCTCAGCCTCAAGAGAGCGACGATGGATTGTATTGGATTGGACTAGAGATGGGGCCGATATTTTGATATCGGGGCATTCCCCGAAAATGACACGAAAGAGCACAGGAGGTGCAAAGCTATTGCTATAAACGTTTAAAACTTTTTTAATGAATATTATAGTAAAGATCTTTTAGCTTACAATAAATAAATTCTCTTTAAAACACTCATTTTATGCTTAGTTCTTAATGAGGAGTATTTCAAGAAAAACTAAGGAGTTCCTAAATAAAAACTTATCAGATACATTTTTCAAAGATTTTTCAATTAATAAACTTTTCTATATATCTTTTATGATTTAAGTTACTTCCCAACTGTTTTTTAACAAAAACTTAAGATCCCATAATCCGTAAAATCTTGTTGGTCACCAATTTATCATCATGAATGAATTAGCAAGCTCTGACTTTAAAGGTAAACTTTTCGGGGATACTATTTTTTAAAGGGAAGTAACATCAAAAATCGTTTAAAAAACCCACCCCTGATTACGGGCAAGTGTTAATTTGAGAACCAGTTTATAAACCTGCTCCCAACCCCGAAAACGCGAACGAGCCCTTTGTTTACCATCTCTCGAGAGTGGGAAGAGCGGCTCATCTCTGGCCGAGATGCAGTTAGCTGTGTCTGTGTTTAGTATCTGCAAACAGAATTTGGTTGAAAAACCCTTTAGCAAACGAAGTTTGTTTTTATTTGCTGTATGCTTTATGCTGTGTGTGCCGCTGCTGTTTCTGTTACTTTTGCTACCTCCCCTGCTTCGGTGCGTTGTGTGCACTTCTATTATCACGTCTGCAATTAGAGCCAAAGTAACTGGGCCAAGTTGCAGCAGCAGCAGCAGCTTTCAGCTTTTTTGCCCAGCTTTTCTCGCGTTTTCACGGGGTTGGAGAATTTTTAGGGGTTTATTGCGGCGTTTGCTTTGCTCCGCCGATTCGTTGCCGTATTTGCCAGTTGCCCCAGTTCCAATTGGTTACGTACACACTCGCAAAACGCACACGAACACTCGTACGCGTACACACGCACACTGCGCGCACCTAACGGTAGATAATGCCAGCCCTGGATGAAAACTGGGGCAAATAAACCAAGAATTTCAAATGTCAATTTTTGACAGGTGTTGTGTTGTGCACTGAAAAAGCGAAAAAACTAACCTTTAGCTGCCTTCCGAATGCCTCTCTTCGCAGCAGGAGAAGGAGCAGGCGCACGAAGATGAGGGGAAAACACGGATGGATACACGACGACGATGAAAACTTTCAGGTGCAAGTTTTTCCCACTGCGCCAGTGTGCGTGTTACATTTCCGGGGGTGCACAAACACACACACACGAGCACTCTCACACGTACACGCAGCCTGTGACGTAGATGATGATGGGTGCTACTCTTTACGTGCGAAAATTCCTTTGAAGGATATATGCACAGGCTTTAATTTCGGATTTTCATTAGCTTGGAACACTTCACATAAATACAGCTCGTTTAATTTGTCGACATCACTGAAAATTTTGGTTGAACAACAATTTAACTATTTTTGCACTATTTTCGATTGAATTTTCATATCCAGATTGACTAAAAAGGGGCCTGTGTGTGCTCGCGTGTTTTTCTGTTTTCCGTTTTCCTTGACTTTTCCGAGCTTGCGGTCCCGCGAGTTTAAGAGAGTAACAGAATTTTGCGATGAAATGTTCAACAACATCGGAGTCACAATCGATGTTTTTAAAAGGCGATATATCGATTCATCGATAGTGCTAGTGGATCAAAAATGAATTTGAATTAAGATTTTTTATGAATTTATAGCAGCAATTATTTATTCTATTAAAAATAATGTTGATATTGTAAGAAAATTAAATTTACAATTCCGTTGATTTAATTTTTTTTGTTTTTAAAATAAAAGTTTTGTTTACGTTAAAAATACAATTTTTTATTTGAACTTTCGGAACTTAAAAATGTATTGAAAAATTAATAATAAAAATAAAAATGGTTACAGCTGCTTGGCAGTGCTGCCAGGCATCGTCGCAATCGATATATCGATAACCTTACATGACCCTCCCCCTTGATGGGCAAGAAAATAAATAATTCCCCCCGTTATGCTGTAACAATTATAGAAGCACTACAATTAGCCAGTAATTAAGAAAAATTCAAGATTACATAAAACACCCAGCTGTCTGGCAACGCCACAGCTGTTTGGCCCTCCAAGAAACAACAAAAGAAAACAAAATGAATTACATAAAACTACATGACTTACAAGAACAACACGGTCCTCCAATGGTTCTTTTGTTTATCTCCGCTTCTTTTTTGGCACAACCCCGTAACACCAACACACACACACACACGCGCCGCGAATTGTTGCTATTATATTGTTATTGTCTTTGGTTGTTTTCGTAGCGCTGCGTTTCGTTTTTGGCCGAGTTTTTAATTACAAGCACTTTTGTAGGAAAAGGCGAAAACAAAATATCCGCGCACCCAGAGTCTTGATCCCCGTGTCTTGTCTTTTTGTGGTAAATCGTGTTTTACAAAAATCCGTACATTTTTTTATTATTTTTTGTGTGTGATATTTTCTACAAATTTTCCGGCCGAGACCAAAGCTACTCGGGTAAAAGCACACGACAAACGACAAAACTCAGAATTTCATCGCCTGCTGTTGGTCGGAGCTTATTGGCTATTGGATATCGATTGCTGGATACCCTTCACTTGAGCGTACACGCTCGAAACTTGGGTTTATTAACTAATAATTAGAGTAAAGTTCTTTGGATAATTCAATTTATTATTTGTGATCATTTCAGATGGGATATTTTAGGTTTAGCTGAAGGAATTGATCAAATATGATTTTAATTGGAGTGTTGATTTACGTACCTTTTAATACCCTACTTCGATATACTCTCAGCGAAATTATCGAAGGTACACAGCTGATTAGGCAGAGCTGCCACCTTTTTCTTGTGCTGAGCGCGGATTTTAAAAAGCACTGAATATATATTTTAAAAGCTGAGATCAAGTTTATGGTTTCTTTTCGGTTTTCTTTACGTGTTTATTTATCTGAGACAATAGGAAACGCTGTTTTCTTTGAGTCACAAAGATTTACTCAAGCCTGATTTGTTTTTATAACTTTTTTATAACAAAGCTTCTGAAATTCCCCATTTTAAGTACAGAGAGAAAAATTATATTAATTCTTGCCAATGTAATATTTTATTACTTCCCAGTGGGAAGTTCCCACCCATATTATTTTTATTTAAATTCAAAGTTTTTTGTTTTTTTTTTTATTAAGGTATTAAGTATTAAGATATTTTTATTAAGGTAAGGAGCCAGGTAATTCATGAATATTTTTAAAATTTACTTAAGAATTACCATTTAATTCTTTCAAAGTTTAAATGATCTTTTTTATTTAACCTATTTCTGTGATTTTCTGTTTACTAATCTAAAAATGTACATTCATTACACAAAGGCTATCGCAAAGCTTTTTTTCTCCGTGTCTTTGTTAATAACAAGATGAGACCGGTTCTTGATAAGCTTCTGAGATTCTCAAGCTCGACTTGTCTGACCGCTCGTCGCAGTTACAATCGCGATTCTCATCATGACGGATGCATCTCGTTACGGCGACGTCGGGAGCTGCAGCCTCCAGTTGCTACCCCTCATCTTTCTCCTTCTTGGTACAGTCCAGGGATACGAGGTGCCCAAGGCTCACATTGAGGTGTTCTATCCCAAGGGATTTGAGGTCTCCATACCGCACGAGGAGGGGATCACACTCTTCGCCTTCCACGGAAAGCTCAACGAGGAAATGGAGGGCTTGGAGGCCGGCACCTGGGCCCGAGACATTGTCAAGGCAAAGAACGGGCGCTGGACATTCCGGGATCGGAATGCAGTCCTCAAGCCCGGCGACATTCTTTACTACTGGACGTACGTTATCTACAACGGGTTGGGTTATCGCGAAGACGACGGGTCGTATGTGGTGAATTCCTTCAGTGACCACAACACTTCGCGACCTCCCGTCCCGCCCGTTCGTGTCGATCCCACTACGTCGTGGGCTTCGCCAGACGATCCGGGTCTGGACATACGAATGGGCGGGTGCCAGAGTCCCAAGACCGAGGTGAATGGAGCGCCAACTCGGTGTGTAGGCCAACTGGTCTTTGTGGATGAGTTTAATGGCACTAAATTGGATCCCAACAAGTGGCAGGCGGAGCGCAGGTTTTCTGGAGAACCCGACTTTGAGTTCAACGCCTATGTGGACGATGCTCCGGAGACCTTGTGCCTGAAGAACAGCCAAGCTATTCTCGCCACTACCACAATGCGGAAACTATACAAAAAGGGACCCGAAGGAAAACTGGACTTGTCGGAAAATAACCATGTCTGCACGGGGGCGGCCAACACGCACGACTGCGTCCGTGACGGGAGGACGAGAAGGGACGGCCTACCGCCTGTTGTCACTGCCCAGTTCACCTCCAAGCAGTCCTTCTCCTTCAAGTACGGTCGCGTCGAGGTTCGAGCCAAGATGCCGCGGGCCGACTGGGTTACGCCGCAAATCTGGCTGCAGCCTAAACACCATGTCTACGGGACAAGCGACTACAAGTCGGGCCAGATCAGGATTGCCTACACCCGTCCGGCCAACCGTATGTTGGATCTTTATGCCGCCGCCGTGCTGTATGCGAATGAGCCCCTCCGTTCCGCAAAGAGCTGCTTGAAGGCTGGAACCGGCGACACCTCCGAGGACTGGAGCGACAGCTTCCACATCTATACCTTGGAGTGGACGCCGAGTCAGCTGCGCTGGCTAGTCGATGGCAAGGAGTGGTGCGTCCAGGGCAGCGACAAGGGAGCCTTCAGCGAGACATCCGCCGGCGGTCAGCGACTGGTAAATGCCCAGAAACTGGAGGAGGGCACCGGTCTGGCGCCCTTTGATCAGGAATTCTATTTAACCTTTGGCCTGAGCGTTGGTGGGTTCAACGAGTACCAGCACGTGGTGAAGGAATGGAACGAGCAGTCGCCGCAGGCCCAAAAGGACTTCTGGAATAGCATCAAGCGACATCGTGACCACTGGATGGCCGAGGGTCAGATGGTGATTGACTACGTCAAAGTGTATACTTTGTAACTAAAAACTTTTTTTCATAAAACATTTTCATAAACTTTAAATATTAAAAAATGTAATTCAAGACAATAAATTTCAAGTTTCTGAAATCTCAAAATAAACATTTAATAATACCCTGCAAGGGCATAAAAACGAAACCTAATTCACTTATGGGATTCAATAAAATCGCTATCACTTCCTTCTAAATCGGGATTCGGGAATGTAGCATTTCAATCTTCTGGCAAACATTTAAATAGCCTACAAGGGTAAAAATATTTAAAATTGGCAGAGCTTTGAATTCTTTTAAAATTTAAACACTCCCAACGGTATTTTTCCGTTATACCTGTTCAGTATTTCTGACCAGGCTTTGTATTTTACGGCTCACTGCCAACGGTCACATTGATTTGCTCACATAACCTGCTGGACTTATTTTGCCGAAAACCACAAGTAAATCGTAAAATAGTGATAGTTTATCAACATTCTAACTTAAACTTGAACCACCCACGCACAGATACTAGCAAAATGCAGATCACTCGCCTCGCCCTGCGCCAGATCACCCGCCAAGTGCGCCTGCAACGCATGTACAGCGTCGCTGCCCCGGCTGCCGCCGTCTCTGGAGCGGAGAAACTGGTGCCGCCGCCGCCGGAGGGTGCAGCCAAGCCACCGAATCCCAAGCTGGACAGCATAGTCAACAACATTGCCGCTCTCAATCTGCTGGAAGTTGCCGAATTGAGCACGCTGCTCAAACAGAAACTCAACCTGCCTGAGACCGCGTTTGCCCCCCAGTTCGCCGCTGGACCGGCACGTGCTGCTCCCGCCGAGGATGAGGAGGAGGCGGCGCCCAAGAAGGTGCAGACCTCGTTCAAGGTGAAGCTGGTCAAGTTCGATGAGAAGCAGAAGGTGGCGCTGATCAAGGAGGTGAAGAACCTGCTGGAGGGCATGAATCTGGTGCAGGCCAAGAAGTTTGTCGAGAGCGCCCCGACCATTGTCAAGGAGGACGTACCCAAGGAGGAGGCCGAGAAGCTGAAGGAGGCGTTGGCCAAGGCGGGCGCCATCATCGAAATTGAGTAGAATTGTGGTTTTCGTTTTTCTATTCTGCGTTTAGCTGCTAGTTATTGTTTTAATAAAAAGCCAGGCAACATTTGCTGTAAACTTAACAAAACGGGATTTTATTTTTAAACTTGATAGAGAATTTAAGATTTAATAAGAATCAAGTATATTTAACGCATTAGAGAGCTCTAAAAGTTATGGAAAATTAAATATATGTATCAGCTTAAAAATAGGGTAATGTTAATGTTACACAAAACTAAAGAACATAATTTATGAAATTCCTAGTAATTTTTAATTTAATTAGAATTGAGGAAACTATGAATTATTCATATAGTTTAATAAATAAACTTTGTAATTACATTTAAAAGTTAACAGACCCTTAACAGCCCAGCGCAACTGTTAACAGATCAGGAAGTTGGCAACGCGAAGGCTTGCGCTACACTTGCTACTTTCTATGCTTCGCCCTGGAAAACAATCCAAGTGTCAATCCACTTTTACCTTCCATTTGGGATTAAACATTAATTAGTGACCGGCATACTCGGTGATTAGTGTTATCCTGCTAATTGGCGTCGTGCGTGGCGCGTTCTAGTAAATGCAGCTATCTGCGGCGCACTTACACACACGCGCCGCCGCGGCCATCTTCACCGTCGCGTTGCCAACTCAGCCGAATTGTACCGTTACATCATCTGTAACCGAAAATCGAACGCGTTTTCGATTTTTATTTATAGCCACAAAATGGCAGCCGCTCGAGCGGAAAGAAGATGCTAGACGAGCGCGTTTACAGATCGCCGGGTAAACATGATCGACACTTTCTTTTATCTCCGGCAATCCGGTGGGGCCAGAATCATGCGGAGTTGCACGCGTGTGCTCTGGGTGCCAGGCATTTCTATCACTTTCCTCGCCCAGAAAAAAAATCTGTTTGTTGTCGTCCAGAAGCGATACGCGTAAATTCGGGTAACAAATACGGGGGGAACAAGCCGCCCAGCCGACCACTTCCTATGCGTGAGTGCTCCACATTCTCTCCCGGCCAAACGAAATAAGCCTCACACGATCTCCGGACAGGAGCGGAATTTGGAGATACGGAAAGAATTAATAATCTTATTAATTAGCAATCAAATATTTTAATTTAATTATAAATATCTAATAAATATAATGCAAACCTATTAACTAATGAAAACCTAATAATCGCGTATGTTCGATTATTAGGAATATAATAAATTTATATTTTTCAGAATTTAAAAAATGTATATTAAGTTTATTAATTTTATTAGATTAAATTTCTACTATTTTTTAAACCCAAATAAATTTTTTTAAGATCTAAATAATAAATACGAGGGTTAAAGTAATATGCATTTCAGAGAACCCCCTCGGTCGCCCATGGCCACGATGCATGGCGCGTCGGGTTCTCTCAATTAGCACCTGCGCTGGCCACTGGCATGGAGCACACTGTGCCCCCAAAACTCGGATCTCCATCGGATCAGTCACCATTGAGTCACACGCGCGAGTGGACGTCTCTCTTACTGTTTGTCGATCGGGCATAAATCCGTTCCAGCTACGTTCCAGCCTCCAGCTTAGCTGAGTGAAAACCGAAAGTGATCCATCCATTCATCATCATGTCTGTCGGCAACAGTTCCTCGCGTTTTATGGCCTTCGTGGCCATCTTCTTCAGCAGCTACATCGTGGGCATTTACAGTGCGGCACGGGCCTCCAGTAGCCTGCTTGTAACTCCGGATCCAAGTGTTAATCAGACCCTGAATGATACTATCCTTGAGGAGGTGGAAGAAGTCTCCTCCTCCAGTGGCCTGGCCCGCAGTGGCTCTCGACATCCTCGCTGTAAGTTTTAGCTGGAAGAGATTGCAGCTTTAAGATCCAAGATCATGCCGGATGAGTGGCGGTGGTTTGTTTTTCCATCGTGGTGGCAGTAAGTGGGTCATGCCTCAATTATCACCCACTGTGCATGATGTGCCGCAGGTGGATTCTTTAGTCTTAGCCGTCCCCGGGACCTATTGGGGTCTGCTGGGTAAAGTTTTCCAATTGCGCACTGCAATTTGTGAGAAGAGGAAACCCGCTAAGGTGCACTGCATATGCAAATTAAAAACAAGACATTAAGGTGATGTTGGGGTTGATATTTCTGCGGACATGGCTAGATGGACTCGGCTGTTGATGCTGATATAGAATATTTATGTATAGGGTCGGAAATGACTTCTTCAATGTGTAGGATATTAAATTGTAAAAGATATAATTCTTCTTGTTCTAAAAAAGTCTTGGATTAAAATAGTTAACTAGGATGATCTTACAAAATTTTTTCCATATATTGTTTCTATTCAAAAGCATTTCTCTTTAATTTTTTAATGCTATGCAAGCCTAGTATTTTCTTGTCTAAAGTTAATTTTAGTTTATTATTTCAATATTTAAAGAAATCTTTGTCTTACTATTCTTTTTTTAAATTATAAGAATAATTATTTAAGAATTTAATTTGATTTCTTATTAATATTTCAATTGATACCAGAACTTAAGGTCTTAAGGTTTTTTAAAAGAACGTACTAAAAAATATGTGTATGTGTTCTAATCTAATTGTTAGTTATCTCTGGGAACACCTGTGATAATGGGTTGCTTATATGTACTTTAAAGATCTAACATAATAAAATACGAGAACCCTAGAATCTCTTTTCTGCAGTGCCCTTTGAATGACACTTTATTTCCATTATCTTTTTAGGGTTTCCGTTCTACACCATTGGCCGTTTCTCCAACGATATTTGCACGGGCAACAACCTGCTCCTAGGCACCTGCGTAATCAACGGTGAATGCACGGACAACAGCGGTGTGGCGGCGGGCAGTTGCTCCTCCATTACAGCCCAGGCCATCTGCTGCATTTGTGAGTAACTTCAGGAATAATATTTATAGGCATTTTATCAGACTGTTCCTATCCCATTACAGATCAAAGGACTTGTGGAGCGAGTACGTCCTACAACAACACCTACTTCTACAACAGCAACTATCCGGCTCCATATGCGGGCGGTGGACGCTGCTCCATTGTGGTCACGCCGCCGGATTCGAGCATTTGCCAGCTGCGCGTGGACTTCCTTTCCCTATCGCTAGCTCCGCCCTCGGGCGATGGATCCTGCAGTACCGATGCCTTGACCATTACCGGAGGAGCCTCGCAGGTGCCCAGCATCTGTGGCGAGAACTCTGGCCAGCATGTGTATGTGGATTTTAATGGCGTCAGTCCCATCACCATTTCGGTGGCCACTTCCTCGGGCTATACCTTCAACCGCAACTGGCAGTTCCAGATACGCATGCTGGGCTGCACGTCGGCCACCTTGGCCCCCGCCGGATGCCTGCAATATTATATGCCCAGCAGTGGCACCCTCGCCAGCTTCAACTACGTTTCAGCCGCCTCCTCCGCCCTTAACTCTATTGGAGTCCAGGGAACCAGACAGCTGGCAAATACCAAGTATGGGATCTGCATCCGCAAGGCAGCCGGCATGTGCTCCATCACCTACAGCCAGGTCAGCTCCGATACGTATTCCTTTACGCTGACAAACGATGTGGGAGCCGTGGATCCGGCGCTGCTGGCCACGTCTTCGGTGCAGAGTCAAGAGTGCACCACGGATTATATCGTCATACCGGCGCCCACGCAGGGAGGTGTCTCGCTATCTAGCGATCGTTTTTGTGGCCTGGGCCTGGTGTCCACGACAAGTGCGGCAAAGCCCTTCGTGGTGTATACAGTCACGGACGGCAATGAGGATCTGGACATATCGAATCGGGGATTCTATCTGTCTTACTCACAGAACGCGTGTCCAATTCTGTAATTTTGGGGGAAAATAAAAGACTTGATTTATGAATAGCAAAGCGAAGTGGATATTTCTGGCTGGGAAGGACAAGTAAAAAGCTTGGAAAGTTTTAGAACTAACCATGTTGAAGTCTGTGAAAGTAACAATTAGCAAAAATGATCTAATTAGAAACCAAAGTGTTTTCCAAGAGATATAGATATCTTTCAGTGAAATAAAAATAGTGGCAGTCGTGAAATATAACTTAAATGCAAAAATAATAATTAACAACTAATCGTTTTTGGTTGTTCCAAAATAAGTCTTATTTATCGACCCTTTCAGACAAGTATTAGATAGTTTTCTCTCTCTGTGGGAGAACGGAAGAAGTAAAGGTTCATCAGAGAACAGTCTACTAAAGACCAAAAGGAAGAGAAAGGGTTTTGTTTAGAGTTTTGAGTTTCCATGTAATATTTTAGAGCACCTTGAAACATGTAGACGCATGAATTATGCGTGTAATTAAGTATTTAAAGTCGCAATTCCAATGAAAGCCTTTTTTAAATACTTTCAGTCTTTATTAGTTTTATAGTTTTTTTTTTTTAATTATTTATTAATTCTAAAACATAACACACGACCAAGTCGATTCGGCAATTAAACAACAAAAGCATTTTCTAGACTAGACAATCACGATTACGCAGACAGCCGGATGAGGCTGTCGATTTCCGCCTCCAACTCCTTGACCTACAATGAAAATCAAATTCAATCTTAAAAAAAAACGAGAGAATACTGACTCCAACTTACCTTATTTTCAAAATGCAATTTGGTGTCCTTGTTGGCCATCAGCTGAAAGGCCTCGTTGTCCAGACGCATGCGATACTTCTGCAGCTCGTTGACCAGTTTCTTGAGCTTCTTCATATTCGCCTGATGCATCTCGTCGCGCTTCTCAGAGGCCAGGCCCACTTCCTCGTTGACGGTGATGCCAAAAGAGCAAAGTGCACCCGCCGTCGAGTAGAAGTTCTGCTTCTGTGGGATATTCGCGTTCTCGTCCATAAGCTCCAGCTCCACGGCCTCACAGCGCGTTAGCACCTTGATCTGTGGCAAGTGGCGACGCAGGATGTCCTGGGACTCGGCATTCTGGGCGAACAAAGTGAGATGCGGATGGTGGCGCTTGCTGATCTCGTTGCGACTTTTAACCTGCCGCACGCTCTGGCAGATGTTGACCATTTCGTTGACCTCATCCTCCAGCTTCTGGTCTCTTAATTCGGACAGCTTGAGTTCGACATTCATAGGCACGTGCTGCAGCAACTCGCTGGCCACAAAGGGTGTGAACGGGGACATGGCCTGCAGGCCCCAGCTGAGGCAGGCGGTCAGAGTGCCCACATGGATGTAGGCGCTGTCCTCGCGGTTGCTTATCGCCGTCTTGGTGGTCTCCTGCATGCACGTTTAAGAGGTAATTCACAAAGAATAAAGACACACACACTCACCAAATAAGTATCACAGAGATTTTGATAGAAAAACGTCTTCAAAGCGGCTGTGGCCACATGGAAATTGTAGTTGGTGAAGCTATCGGAGACAATAGACAAGGTTTCCGCCAGTCGGCCCAGGATCCAGCGATCCCACACACCCAGACTGACACCGTTGAGTGTCTCGAAATCCTTCAACGAAACGCCCAGTCCCTTGGCAGAGCCCATGGTGAACCGCATCGCCTGCCAGATCTTGTTCAGGAACAGCTTATTGGTGTAACAGGCGTTGACATCGAAGCTGATGAAGTGGCTCTTGATGTTGTGGCTCATCAGGGTGAAGCGCAGGGCATCTGTGCCGCATTCCTGAATGCCCTTGGGAAACATCTTCATCAGGCCAGCTGTGGAGGTCTTGAGCTCTTCGGGCTTGATGATGCCCGCCTCGCAGGACTGCTCCAGACCAGCCTTAAGGCTCTGCAGGTGTAATCTCATAATGAAAGTTATATAAAGTATCTTAAGTGGGTTCCTACCTCCAAGCTGGCGCCCTGCACCACCTGCTGGGGGGCCACAATGTTACCCAGACTCTTGGACATCTTCCTGCCTTGGGCATCGCAAACTATGCCATTGAGGAGGATCCTCTGGAAGGGCGCCTCGCCCGTCAACTTCAGGCCCATCATCATCATGCGTGCCACCCAAAAGAACAAAATGTCGTGGCCAGTCTGCATCAAGTCCAGTGGATACCGCTCCTTGTAACTCTCATCCGGCCAGCCGGCCACGGAGAACGGCAGCAACGAGGAGGAGAACCAGGTGTCCAATACGTCTGGGTCACGTGTCAGAATGAATTGATCGCTGCCTACCAATTGCTTGGCCTTCCGACGGGCATCTTCTTCGGTGAGCGCGGCCACCCAGTGGCTGGTGCCGTTGGCGGAGTCGGTCACCTGGTAGGCTGGGACTTGGTGACCCCACCACAGCTGCCTGGATATGCACCAGTCACGACTGTCCTGCAGCCAGCGTTCCCATTCCGTTTCAAAGCTCGGCGGATGGATCTGCAAACGGCCGCTGTGAAGCTCGGAGAGGGCATCCTGGGCCAGATCCTTGCACTTGAGGAACCATTGCGGCTGGATCATATACTCGATGATGTCCTTGGAGCGCGAGCAGACGGGCAACTGCATGCTGTGGGCGCGCACCTCGCGCAGTAGCTCCATTTCCTCCAACTTATTGACGATCAGTTCTCGCGCCTCGAACCTGGGCTTGTCCTTGAACTCCGGATGCGTCTCCGTCACAAGGCCAGTTTCGGTGAAGACCTGACGCGGCACCAGCTTGTGGCGAGTGGCCACCTCAAAGTCGAACTTGTCGTGGGCGGGCGTGATCTTCACAGCTCCAGTGCCGAACTCCTGGTCCACAGCGATGTCAAAGATCAGCGGTATGGTGTCGTCGCGGAAGGGATGCTTCAGCTTAACCTCCTCCCTGTTTCGATATTTGCTGTAGCGCGGATCCAGAGGATGCACGGCGACGGCTACATCGCCCAAAATGGTCTCCGGTCTGGTGGTGGAAACTACAATCTCCTCGGCACTGCCATCCGGCAAAGTCTCACCATCGACGACGCGATAGGCAAAGTCGTAGATCCGGCCAAAGAGCACGTTCCGCTCGTAGCCCGGAACGGGGATCTCCATCGGCTGCTTGATGTCCAGCAAATCAACCTCAATATCGGAAATGGCTGAGCGCAGGGAAGTGGACCAGTTGACCAGGGAGTTGCGCCGGACAATGAGACCCTCTTCGAAGAGTCGCTCAAAGGCCACATTCACGGCATGCGCCTGCTTCTCATCCATCGTGAAGTACTCGCGCTCCCAGTTGAGGATGCAACCTAGTTGTCGGAGATCCTGCACGATACCTGCACCCTTTTCCGCCTTCCAGCGCCACACCTCATCCAGGAAGGCCTGCCGTCCCAGCTCTTGGCGCGTTTTTCCCTGAGCAGCGGCAATGGTGCGCTCTACCACCACTTGGGTGGCTATACCAGCGTGATCTGTGCCCGGCACCCAGTCCACCTCATAGCCCAGCTGACGGCGCTCGCGAGCAATCACATCCTGCACGGTGGCCATCAGAGCGTGCCCCAAATGCAGATTCCCGGTGACATTTGGCGGCGGTAGCAGCATGCGGTAGGTTCCACGCTTGCAGGCTCCGCTCTTTGGCTTGGCTATGTCCGCCTGGCGATTTTCCCGCTCCCAATAGGCTTCCTCCACCGGCTTGGGCTGGTATCCAGCGGCCAGAGGCAGTTCCTTAGATGCATCTGGCGGTGGATAGTCAAGAATCCTTTAGCCGGCGCTGGATTTGTGAATGAAAACCGCGAAGACTCACCTTTAGCTGTGCTGAAGTACAGGTAGGACACCCTTGGCGGGCAGAGGTATTGGTGTTTAAGAAGTTTTCGGCTGAAATTTCGAATTATTTGCATTTTTATTAACTAAAATTGTTATTTGTTATGTCAAAATAACAGCTGAGCCCGACTACTTACGATACTATCGATAGACTACGGCTTCGATAGCGATATCAATAAACTGGGCGCCAATTTTAGTTTCAGCTTCAATCGAGCTTTTAAACTGAATCTGTTGAGATGAAAAACGTTTTAGAAAGCATAAAAAAACCTTTTTATGACTTTTTTAAAGTTATTTCCAAATTAGTTTTTTAGTAGAAATAATACACAAAAAGTGACTAATATTTATTGATAAAGATAAGTTTAAAATCAAAATTCCCATTGATATAAAACATTTTATGAATTTTAAATACACCGCATTTTATGGATTCTATTCACATGAGCTGTAGTATTCGATCAATCGATCTGCCTCTCGAAAGCCCGCCTCCGTAGCGCCGTGAACCGTGGAAAAGTGCCTCTGGCTGGTGGCTTCACCCGCAAAGAGCAGTCTGGGATGACCGGTGGTCCCCATAACCGGCAACGCCAGATCCGATGGCCCAGTGTCCAGTTCGTCGGCTCGCATGGTTCGATAGCTGTAGCTACCTCGGAAGTTTGGATTCGAGAACCACTTGGAACGCAAGAAGCGATCGGGCGGCGGAACCTCGAAGCTCAGGAACTTGCCGAAGAGCCACTGCAGGCCGGAGAGGACTATATTATCTGTGAGTAACTCCACGCGGCGACCATGCAGACCGCCAATCCAGACCAACAGCAGGCGTGGTTGGTGTTTGATCTTGTGGATGCCGGTTATGCCCTCCAGCCAGGCAAACTCCGAGCAGCGGAGTTCCTTCACCTCCTCCTCCCGCCACAAGCAAAAGAAACCGACAAAATCGTCGGGAAATGGCTGCTCCTTGAACTCCAGGAACAACTTGTCCACGGTTCCCAGCTGGAGACTTTGGATAGCTTTCACCTTGGCCGGCGACAGGGGTGGATTAAAGAGCCGCTCATGCTGCTCCTGCAGGACACCCAAAGATGCAGTGCAGATGACATGATCCACGTTAAACACGTCTCCGTCCTCGCAAACCACTCTCACTTGGTCGGAATCTACTAATTCGATCTTGACTGCCTTCTTTCCGAGTCGGACGCAGCCCTCAAGTACCCCCAGCTCCGTGGGTTCATCCTCGCTGACCTTCATCAGAAGCCGGAGGAATCCCGCAAAGCCCTTGTCGCGCCAGTTGATCAACTGATCGCCACTGCACTTGTCGAGCTCCAAGTGCAAGCGGCCGGATACGTCGAACAGGTTATCCGAACCCAAAATGGAGCTCTCGTGTCTCGAAAAGAATTCCAACGCTTCGGCAGCCACGGCACTTTCCACCTCTGGCAGCTGCGACTTGATCTCCTGCCAGTAGTGCTCAGCCAGGTGGCTGCCCACGGATTCCTCTACTGCAGTGGATTCTTTTGGCATACTCATCGCTGCGATGCCATACAGCTTTTGGCCAAGTTCGAGGGGAATCACCTCCTTGTTGGAGCGCACCATGCGCACACCGCTGAAAAAGTCCCCTGTAAAGTCCATGAAATCGGTGTCCTTTACCATCTCGTAAACGCTGTTTCGATGCTGTCCGTAACACCATTGGGCGCCCAAGTCGATGACATTATCCCCAAACGGAACGGTGTATATCCGTCCGCCGATTCGGTTCTCCGCCTCGAGGATCTGCACGTTGCCAAAGTTGTTCTGCAGAAGCCGGGTGGCGGCAGCTATGCCGGAGACCCCGGCTCCAATTACCAGTATCCTGGAGGAGGCCCGGCACTTTTTCATCTCGATCTGGCAGTGTCGTCCGTCAAACAAGACAATCAATGCGCTACTGATCGGGATTTTGAGATGTAGCTCAACCTGGAGCATTGTTGAAGCTGCATTTCCATGGCTTCCGTTGCGGTTTCAAGTCACCACCACCTGTTGCATGCGCACCACAAAAATGTAGCATTGAGTAAACTGGGTCAGCTAATCTTAGACCTGACATTTTATTTATTAAAAAAGAAAAACTTAAGAAGCTGAGCCAGAAAGTTGGGTCCACTCTCAGAAACAAGATCTTGAAGTAATCTCTCTAATTTGAGGATACATGAATTATTAAATTAAAAATAAAATTAAGCTAAAAACTTTAATAGAGTACCAGTTTTTTATTATAACAGCTCATTCTTTAATTACTTTAATTGTAATTTAAAATACCCCAATTCATTGAAAAGTAACGGTTCTTTCGCAAAGTCGGGCTTTTCGCAACAGTTCGCGACGGTCACACCGACGCAAAAGCTCTTCAAAAACAGAAAACAGTCGGACGGAAACAGAAAAGAAAGAAATGCAATCTGGGCAGTGAGCGGGGGCGTGAAGCGTATTTATCAATTGTCCGGAACGAGTTTAGGGGATTGCCGCCGATCAGCAGTGCTGGAAAATCCGCCCAAACCGCAGCCAGCGCCCGTACAGCCCCCACCAGCGGCTGGTTCAAAAACGTGAGAGGAAGGCGGGAGAACACCGGGAGAGAGAAGCAGGAGGCCAGGAAGCGGCGACAACAGAAGCAATCAAGTGGCACAACGCAGGAGCAGGGAGCAGGAGCCGGGGTTTGGCTGGTGGCCAGGCAAAGCACGATGCTAAAAGTTAATTAGTTTGAGCGAAATCAAATTGGACACCCCGCAGCGGCTGCTGGGGTTGTGGTTGTTGTTGTCGTTCTCCCGACTCCGGGCGGGGTGTTCGCCATGGAATTCGCCGACCTGATAAAGACCCCCAAGCTGGACGGCGTCTTGCTGCACGATCCAGGGCAGGCGGGGACAGGTACGGGTGCGGGTGCACCCACGGTGGGGACGTTATGCATCACCGGACATCATCTGCTGCTGAGCGCACGCCAGGAGAACAGCCAGGAACTGTGGGTGAGTGCAAAGCCAATGTGCTTCGGCTCCAATGGAGCGTAAGGTTGTCAGGGACTAATTGAATTTCCTTCGCTTGGTATCGTAACCCCTTCCAGCTGCTGCACAAGAACATCGACAGTGTGGAGAAGAGGCCCAGTCTGACACAGAACATTGTGGTCGGCGGCATAATCACACTGAAGTGCAAGGACCTGCGCATCATCTCGCTGGAGATCAAGAGTGCCAAGGAGTTTTTCAATGTGGCCACTTCGCTGGAGGCACTCAGTGCGATACAGAACACCGAGCTGCTGTATCCTTTCTTCTACAGGCCCATGTACACCATCCTCGAGGACGGCTACACGATGTTTAGGTGAGGCGTAGGCAGTGCCAGCAAATGGGCCACAATTCAATTATCCTCCTCCTCCTCCTCCTCCACACACACAGGCCCGAGCTGGAGTTCGCCAAGCTCATCAGCGGTGTGGGCATGGGCGGTGTTTCCTCGCCGAATGTGGCCAACATAACAATTTGCATGCCGTCAACATCAACGACATCGACGACACTGGGCAGTGGCGGTGGTGGTGGCATTCCCCATCCCCTACAGAACGGCTATGCGATGGACGCCCTCCAAGGTGGTCTGGGTGGCGGTGGCAGCGCAGCCATCGCCTGCGAGTGGCGCATCAGCAACGTCAACAGAGACTTCAGCGTCTGTGCCACATATGGCGCCACGCTAATTGTACCTAAAGCAATTACGGACGAGCAGATAGTGCTCTCCGCCGCGTTCCGGGACGGCGGACGCTTCCCAGTGCTCAGCTACAGGCACGAGAATGGAGTAAGTTAATGCAGCCACGCCCGCAAATTCGATTAGATAAATGCACTAAATGATTCACCACTTTTTTAAACAGGCCACACTGATGCGCAGCTCCCAGCCGCTGTCGATTCAGGGAATCAAGCGCTGCCGGGCTGACGAGGCCATCCTCAATCTGGTCCTTGGGCGCAGCAGAAAGGGCTTTATCGTGGACACCTGGGGCAAGGGCAAGTCCAACACGGAAACGGACCTGCACTATTCGCAGTGGAAGAAGGTGAATCGCTCGATCGGAAATGTCAGCTCGCCGGCTTCCATTTTGGACAGTTTCTCACGGCTAATAGAGGCCTGCAATGATCTGAGCTGCAGCACGGACAAGTGGTTGTCGCGACTGGAGGGCAGTGGTTGGCTGAGTCTGGTGCTTAACTCGCTCAATGCCTCCTGTGTGGTGGCCCAGTGCCTGGATCAAGAGGGCAGCCCTGTGCTGGTGCACGGGGCCAAGGGCCTGGACTCGACGCTGATTGTCACCTCGCTGGTGCAGATCATCCTCAATCCCGACTGCCGTACTGTTAGGGGGTAAGTTGATACATCAGCTAAGAGGAGGAGTTACTAATATTTCTGGCTCACCTATGCAGTATTCAAGCGCTCATTGAGCGCGAGTGGATCCAGGCGGGACATCCCTTTGCCTCCCGTCATCGGTACTCCTGCTATACCCCAAGTCAGACGCGCCAGAAAACCTCTGGCGCCACCTTTGTGCTCTTCTTGGACTGCCTCTACCAGCTGTACACCCAGTTCCCCTGCAGCTTCGAGTTCAGCACGCAGCTGCTGATCCTCCTCTTCGAGCACAGCCACTTCTCGCAGTACGGCACGTTCCTGTGCGACTCGGAGCGGGAGCGTCGGGAGCTGAATGTGCACACGCGGACTACGAGCTTGTGGTCCTACCTGAACCGGCCGGACGTCCTGCAAACCCTATTGAATCCCCTCTACGAGCCCAATGCCAGTGTGATATGGCCCTCGGTGGCGCCCATCAGCTTGGAGCTATGGAGCGGTGAGTAATGCGTGTGTTTCTGCTGTAGTTAATGGTTACTTATCAGAGATTTGAATCACCCGCAGATCTCTATTTGCGTTGGGTGATAGATCAGCGCAGCTGTGCCACAGTCATGTCTCAGATTCAGGAACTGGTGACACGCGAAAAGGAGCTCAGAACTCAGGTGAGTAGTATAGATCGCAAATAACGAAAGGATTATCTAATCGTAGCCCTTTCAGGCCCTCAAACTACGTAAGCAGGCCCTGGAGCTCGGCCAGGAAGTGTCGGAAATGATGAGTGGCAGTGCAGACGATGCATAGGAAAGGATGCCTACCTCAGCAGCACCTCTCTATCTCTTTTATCTCTATCTTTCTTGCATGATATACATTTATTTTTGATACGTTCTGTTGCAAGATTTCGATAATTATTAAAGCAAATAGATAGCAACACTAGGGTTAGGTCACTTAAAAGTTCCATTTACAAGAAGATTTAACTCAATCTTGCAAAGACCTAATAATAGCAAGATGAGTAACGCCACTTGAATTTTTTGTAAAGGCTCCAAGCTCTCTTGAAAAACGGAAACTAAAACGCAGGATCTGATTTTGGATTCACCTCGAGCACAACTCACTCAATTTTAGGCATATGTATGTCCATTTTTACCGAAAACTATAAATCTACAGGATAACGACAAAGTGAAACGAAAAATAAAACGGAAACTCTTGTACTACTCTGTAAATCGCTCTCTAATCTCAGATTTATGAAAAACTGAAACTGCAACTGCACATGGCATTAACTATCAAATAATTTGGGTCAATTTTTGACGCATTTACATTTATGGAATTTTTAGCGCATAAGACTCCGAGAATTACCTATGAATAGTACTTACCTCTCGGATCGATCAAATTTAGTATTGTATAAATTCAAAAGATTTGCCTTTTTGTATGTACATTTTTGATTAAATCGTATAAATCGGAAGCTTCAAAAGCGTTTTACATTTACAATTATGCTGTGCATGCGTTGATACACACTAAATATGCAAAAACATTACATATATTGTACATTATACACACCTCTATTAATGTTTTGTAGCTGTTATCCCCCACTCTATAGTATGTGTGTTTATTTCGGATTGTGATCGTATATTTGAAATGGCAGAAATTTGTATGTAATTTATATTCAGATATTTACATATTTCTATTGTGCGTATTTTGTGTAATTATTCGCTTAAGTGCAATAAATACATGTTAATTTGCAGACGGGTGTACTGAATTTTCTACTCATGGAGGGGTTCTTCTAGGAATTTAAGCCCAACAAAAACGGGGAAAATTGGGTGTCAATATCGTATTGATAGACTCGTAAAATCATAAATCACATAACAGTACATTGTGCCATCCTTATCTTTAGTCTTTTTCTTACATACAACACAGATTGACAGCTTCTTGGAACCGAGAACAGGAATCCTGTTTTAAAAAAAATACCTTATGTCAGGTTTTCAAAATATTTAAACTTAAAAGTGCTATAACCTAAATTCGATTTATTTTTTCTAAACAAACGTTACGTTACGTTTTTGGTCTCCGAGATATCGTGTCTTGAAAAATGTCCATATAAATTCAAAAGACGATATCTCGAAGATCCATCAAGATTTTTTCAAATTTTAAAAGCTGGTTGTACCTTATGTTGGTGGTACCTTATGTTACCAAGTATTTTCTGAGGTCGGACTTAAGTTCATTCCATCGAGTAATATTCCGGTTCTTTGTTTTGCGATTTTTTAAGATTTTGCCATCCTTTGTGATTTTTAATTGAAAACTCTTCTGCTTTGTATAAAGAATTTGTTTATTTTTCGCTAGACTCATATTTATGACAACACTTATGTTTCCTGCTGTTTTTGGGCTCACTATTTATTTTTCGCTGTATATAAACGTATATAAAACTCACTTTAATTCGATTACAAATAATCCCCAAAAAATCGAAAACAATAACAAAAGGTTAGTTGAAAGCAAATGTTGGTGTGTTTGTTGAATTTAAAGAATGAACTGAAGAGCAGAGGGAACGAGGGGAAACGAGGTGCTGAACCCTGTAGCTGCTGTCTTAGTTCGACGCCTCGTCCTCCAGGAAGAAGAACTGGCCGGATCGCTTCTGTTCCGTATCCTTGACCGAGTTGTTCTTGTTGATGCGGGGCCTGAAGTTGTTGGGGTCGCGTCGGAAGGTGATGCCGAGCAGTTCGAGGAATCGGTTCATGCCGTTCAGCAGCGACTGGGGCGAGTAGGCCGTCGTCTTGACAGAGGGCTGGCCTTCAATAACAATGACACGGTCGGCAAGGTAGGTGGCCATGATGAAATCGTGCTCCACCACAAATCCTGTCTTCTTGGCGTGCAGAATGTACCTAAAAGCAAGCGGAATTCCCATTGGGTTAGCCTTTAATTAATTAGCAAGCTTTGTGGAACTTACCGCTTGATAACCTTGGCGGCCACCAGACGCTGCTCCGAGTCCAAGTAGGCCGAGGGCTCGTCGATGAGGTAGACATCCGCCGGCTTGCCCAAACACAAAACCAAGGCCACGCGCTGCAACTCACCACCAGAGAGGTTCTGCACCTCCTGGTCCATAATCTCCTCAATCTTCATGGGCTTCATCACATCGGCAATGAACTGAGGATGCACGTACGCGTCACGGATCTTGTCGTGCAGCAGATGACGCACATGGTTCTGGAATTTCGGAGAAATCTTCTGCGGCTTGTACGAAATGTTGAGCATGGGCAGATCCACCTGGCCGTCGGGCTGCAGGTTTCCGGCCAGCATTCGGATGAACGTCGTCTTGCCCGTACCGTTCTCGCCCAGCAGCACCAGGATCTCGGAGTCACTGAAGTGACCCTGCTCCACGGTCAGCTCGAACTTGCCCAGCGTCTTGACCATGGCGGGATACACGTAGTGGTTCATGCGCTTGATCTCCTCCTCGGTGGCCGACTCGGAGACCTTAAACGTAAGGGACTCTGTGCGGAAGCGCATGTTCTCGGTGGGCACGAAGCCGTCAAGGAAAATGTTGATGCCTTCGCGGACGGAGAAGGGCATAGTGACAACGCCATAGCAGCCGGGCACTCCGTACAGGCAGCAAATAAAGTCGGACAAGTAATCCAGCACGGACAAATCGTGCTCCACAACAATGATGAACCTAAAACGAGTTTAATTAAGCATCAAACAGCCGAGAGAATCTGGCCAGGATCACACTTACTTTGTGGGATGCAGGAGTGATCGAACAGTCAGAGCAGCGTTGAGACGCTGCTTCACATCCAGATACGAGGACGGTTCGTCGAACATGAAGATATCCGCGTTCTGAATGCACACCATGGCGATGGCGAAGCGCTGAAGCTCTCCACCAGACAGCTGCGAGATCTCTCGATCCCGAATGTGCGAGAGGTCCAGCATGTCGCAGATCTTTGTCTGCAGGTCGCGCTCGTCCTTCTTGTCCAGCAACTCACCGACAGCGCCACGGACCGCCTTGGGGATCTGATCCACATACTGCGGCTTGACCAGCGCCTTCAGGTTGTCCTCGAGGATCTTGGTGAAGTAGTTCTGCAGCTCAGAGCCGCGGAAGTAGCTAAGGATCTCCGTCCAGTCGGGCGGGTTGGCATACTTCCCCAGATTGGGCTTCTGCTTGCCCGCCAAAATCTTCAAGGCCGTGGACTTGCCAATACCGTTCTGTCCCACCAAGCCTAGCACCTCGCCGGGTCGCGGAATAGGCAGGCGATGCAGCTTAAAGGAGTTCTTGCTGTAACGATGCGTTGTGTGCTTGTCCAGGTTGCTGGGCAAGTTGATGATTGTTATGGCCTCGAAGGGACATTTCTGGGGGAGAAAAGAAAAATTAGATTATAGCTCGGGCAGACAGACAGCTAACCCACCTTGACACAAATGCCGCAACCGATGCACAGCTCCTCGGACAGCGAGGCAATCTTGGACGTGGGCGTCACCTCGATGCAGAGCTTGCCCATGCGCACCACCGGGCAGGTCTTCTTGCACTCCTGCCGACACCGCTTGGGCTTGCACTTGTCATCGCTGACGATGGCAATACGCGTCTGCTTGTCCGTCTCTTCGTTCTCCTTTCTGCGCGACATGCTGTGTGGAAGAGAAGTTAACAAGCGGAAAGCGAACAATTAGCCAGCTGTTCTGCTGCGATGTGTATTCGTTCCTAATCACTGATCTGTATGGCAATCAGTCCACTGTCAACGTTGCAAAATCCACAGCCCCGGCCGTCAAAACAAATCTGGTGCACCGCTCTATGGGAGGCGGGGCAGCTGGTGCGGGGGCTGCGTTCGCCTGCTAGTGAAAGTATAACCTCAAAGCGTGGCCAAAACAACGGTTTTCCACGCTGAATTTTCTTCGTTTGACAGGCGGTAGGCGTTGGCCTAAGTGTCCTCGTTGACAGTGTTTAGAATTCTTTGGGTTTTACCTGCGAACTAGGCCGAAATTGTTGTAAAACAGACAGAACGCACGCTCTTGCGTGTCAGCCAACAAGTTTCAAAAGGGGGGACTTTTGAAGGGTTACTCAACACTACCCCAGATAGAGATGTGATAACTCGACTATCGATAGCTATGAGAATAGGTTTTTGTTTTTCCAATACAATTAATAAACTTTTTTTTAATTAAAAATTATATTAGCAAGCATATTAAATTTATAAAATTGATTTTAAAAATTCATTGACTCTTCATAAAATCCTTAAATATAGTTTTCATTGAAACTTGAAAGGCTTTTGCTTGCCGATACATATTGCCAAGTCATGTTGATAATATCGATATCGCTATGTTTTTGACAATCCCAACTGGCGACCCATCCCTAGTTTTTACACGTCGTTGATTTTTGTTGGACTGGACAGGCTTAAAAATGGTCGTACAAGATGATACCATAAGTTCAGGGGAGCCCGAGAAGACGGAATCTGTGCCGGTGGTGCCTGAGCAGGCCAAGATCTTCACGGTCGAGAGTGAGTACGGCGTGGGCTCCGTCCAGTCTGGGGCCAATGGGACGCTCAGCACCGCTCCCTTTAACCTAAAAGTCTGTATGCTAATTTATGTGAACTTTCACTCTCGCTGTAGTCCTGCACATGATCAAGGATGCCCAGCAGCAGCATGGCCTGCGTCACGGCGACTTCCAGCGCTACCGTGGCTACTGCACCCGCCGCATACGTCGTCTGAGGAAGGCACTGAAGTACCCGCAGGGCGACAAGCGACACTTCAAGCGACGTGACGTGACCATCGGTCAGTTGACAGGCAAGAAGGCCGACGAGCGTTTTTTCCACATCCCACTGATCAGCGCTGAGCGGGCCTGGGCTTATGCCATGCAGCTGAAGCAGGAGTCCAACACGGAGCCGCGAAAGCGCTTCCATCTGATCAGCAAGCTGCGGAGGGCCTGCTTCTACGCCCTCCAGCTGCAGGAGTTGTGCAATGTAAGTGGCTGTATGTCGAAGGGGAAGTTTATATAAAGTTTAATTGATCTTTATCCCGCAGACGGAGGCCTTCGATGCCCGCACGAAGCTGGAATGCGAGGCCTACGTGGCCTGGATGCACGGCAGCCTGCACTTTGAACTGCAACTGTGGAAGACGGCTGGCGAGCACCTGAAACGCGCCCAGGTGGTGTACGAGAACCTGGCCAAGGCCTTGCCCGATGACGAGCAGGAGCTGTACCGGGCAAAGGTGAACGAGTTCACGCCCAATCTGCGCTACTGCGCCTACAACATCAGCGGCGGTGCCACCAGCGGCGGCAAGATCGACGAGATCCTGGAGCTTCGCGCCCAGGGAGTGCTCGAGAATCTGGATGTGCTGGTCAGCCAGACGAAGACGGAGAGCAGCGAGGGCCTGCAGACGATCGACTGGCGCGGTCGCAAGGTCACCGTGCGTCCGGAGAAGGTGCGCCTGTTCCTGCTTAGCGCCCAGGAGCTGGACAAGTCACTGGCGAAGGCTACCAAGCCGGATTCCAAGATCGAGTTAATCGAACGCATTTTGATGGACTGCAAGGACGCCATTCAGGCGGTGCGGGACGAGATTAAGCAGGATCCCAAGCTGCGTTCGCTGACCACAGGCCAGACAGTGTCTGGAGTGCAATATCTTCTGGCCTACTTGAGCTACATCCGACACAGCCGCACGTTGCAGCGCAATCTGTGCCTTGTGGAGCAGGTAATTCTCGAGGAAACTCATTAACAATCAACGCTAATACGATTCCTTCCAGGCAAAGCTCAACTTTGACGATCCCAACCAGCAGTCTCAGCAGAACGTTGGCGACGGCAAACGCGTGCGGTCCCAGGATCTGGCCCGCCTGTACGAGATCATCCTCCAGAACGTGACGGAAATGCAGCAGATCAACGGCATGGAGGACGATGCCCAGTACCAGGCCGAGGTGGAGAACCTGGCCATAACCTTCAAGGCCTTCCGTTGCTACTACATTGCCCTCACCCTGATTGATATGAAGAAGTGGAAGGAGGCGGTGGCGCTATACGAGCGTGCCTCCAACTACGCCACCGAGGCGCTCAAGGGCAGGGCCAGCGCGGAGTTCCAGCTGCAAGCGGAGCTCAAGAAGGTCGTGTCCACCATCGAGGGCTGCAAATTCTCCGCCCACGCCTACAGTGTGCTGGAGGATGATAACAGCGAGGAGGCCGGAACCACCACCAAGGCGCAGAAGACCACAAAACCGCTGTACGAACGCTTGTCGCTGTACAAGGAGGACCAGTCGCTGCACACCAAGACGCCCAACGTGTTCAAGCTCACCCCCGACATGGAGCCCATACCCTGCAAGCCCCTCTTCTTCGACCTGGCCATGAACTACGTGGAGCTGCCCTCGCTGGAGGACAAGCTGGAGTCGCCCGGCAAGAAGGCCGGTGGCGTTACCGGCTTCGTCAAGGGATTCCTCGGCTGGGGCGGCGGTGGCGGCAACAAGTGAGGCGACAACCCAGCACGGACCACGACCACCACCACTCTTCTGGAATTCCATGCATCCTTGTTACACTTATAAAGCCTTCAGATCCATGTCCATGCCGCGGTATGTCAGTTCTTCTTTATAAGTTCCTTGTTTTTTGGCTCGTAATCCCGCCAGATTTGTTTGTCTACGAACCCTTTTGTAAGTTTAAAAAAGTGAACAATTATTCGGTAATAAAGGAACCTTCAACGGAGCGCTAAAGTTCCTCTAAAGAGAAATCTATCATCTATATTTATCGAGAGTTAAATCCTAACGCTACGTGACTATGAATACTCTTTAAGGGTTCGTTACTCCGTGTGGAGATAACCCAGCTCGTAGAACTCCATCACCAGCTCCCGGACGCGCAGATGGTACTCCGACGTGAGGGTCTGGGTGCATTTGATCTCCTCCTTGCCGGTCAGACTGAGCTCGCTCATCACGTCCAGATTGGGCAGGTTGTTCGGATCAAAGGTGACGGCCGGCAGAATCCACATGCCGATTGCCAGGCCATAGTGCACCTGACGCACGTACTCGGCACTGAGGCGCTGAAGCGAAAACGCCTCGCAAAGTTCCTGCAGCCGTTCGGCAGCCGGACTGCCCTCCAGTTGGTGCATCAGTTCCAGGCCCAAGGCCTCGGAGTACGCGGCCAGCAGCGTGTCCGTGTGCACATCCCTCAGTTCCCTTCGCGTGCTGGTGTATATGAAGTGGAGTATATCGAACACGGGAGATGTCCTACGCATCGCTTGCAGGTCGAAGAAGATCACCTCTTCCGGCTCCGAGCGAAACATGATGTTGTTCACCCACAAGTCCCCGTGACAGATCACACTGAAGGGCGTCCTTGCCGTGGCGTTTATCTCGCGCTTCAGGTTCTCAAACAAATTGGGTCGCAGCTCATTGAGTAGGCGAATGGGCGTGGTCAGGCTGCCGTCGGAATTGGAGTCACCCAAACTCTCCAGGGCCTGCTGTACAGATGTATCCAATATGGTGGCATAGAAATCGGCCGCCTCCTCGCAATAAACGATCTCCTCGAGATGCTCAACCTCAGCGGAGAAGCTCACAGAGTCCAGTTCTTGGGCGGCCAGTGAGGCGGCGTGCAGTTGCGCCAGTTTCTTCAAGGATGGTAAAAGGATAAAGGATAGCAAATAAGCTTGGACGATTAACTCACCTTCATCACTAGGAGACAGTGACGCAGCTCCAGCCCCACCAACCGATCCCTCATCCGAAATCCCAAGGCCTTGAGGTCCTGCAGCACAATGATGGGCTCGCCGCTGTCCGGATCCCGGCGATCATGGCACTCCGCGATGTGGCACACCGGAAACAGCTGCTGTCGGCTGTGGGCGGCAAGGAGAGGAGCCAGGTGGCGATAGGCGTTGATCTCGTTGCTGAAGGCCTCCTCGCAACGGTAAAGCTGCCGGCGCGAGAGGCTCGCAATCTGGCGCTTCACAATAACGGTGACTGCAGAGTGGAGGGGAAAAGAGCCGAGGGTAGAAGGAAATGCAGAGCAAAACAAAAACAGTGAGAGCGTGAGCGACGAACAGCTGACGTTTGTTTACATCGCGGCCAAAGATTTATGAATGAAATGGCGCTGGGCCTTGTGTGCGGGAGAGCGAAGCGGCCGCCTCTCTCTCGCGTCGCTCTCTGGGCCTGCCTGTGTGTGTGTGCGTGTATGGGTGTGCGTGCTGACCTTTAGCGAATCTATATTACGTATACGCCGCATTGCATTTAGAATGCGTGGCACAAGGTCAACCCACTCGACGCCGTTGCCGCTCAGCGGTGCAAACAAAAGCGAAAAATCTGAACTACAAGCGCCTGCCTCTGTTTCTTACGGTTCTGAGTTGGTTATTACCCTCTGGAGCTACTCTAAGGGAACTAAAAATGTAAGCAACTGGTCTAAATATTAAGTTAATATTAAACGCCTATCAGATTATTTTCACCTATTTTGCATCGTTTATGCAATCTAATTCATATTCTGTTCATTATCTTTGCCTTAAAAACCTTATACGTTACATGACAATGTCTCCCCTGATACACTTCTTACCTATTTCCCTCATTGCCTCGTCCTCTGTGGCCTGGCTGATTGTCACCCGCTTGACCACGGACATGTAGTTGTCCCCGCTGCTGCTGCCGGCGCTGCACGAGATGTGGTCAATGCTAAAGGACACAAGCTTGCTCCGGCTAAACAGCTGCCGTAAGTGCTCGGCATTCTCCTCGTATTGATTGACAGCAGCGCCACTATTCACGGCCATTGCCAGGCCACTGCCATTGCTGCGCGAAGGTCCTGCAATCTGCATGGCCGCTGCCATTGTTTCCACTTCACTTGGCCGCCGCCCGCCTGTGAATGGCTGGCACTGGGCCTCTGGTGCTGCCAAATCGAGAGCTGACAGTGGCTTTCTGCCGCTGCAGCATTTTTTTTCTAGCACTGACACAATTGCGAATTCAGTCCAGGTCAACTTTTTCGGCCAATTATTATACAATTTCCGCTGGCCAAAGAAAAATTGGTAACACCTCAGCAGAGCACAGAGCACACACAACAAGCCCGCCCCGTCGAACAGCAAAACGTCGACTGGCGCAAAACTGCACTACAGCGATTTCACCGAGAGCTGCGAGAAACTGCATTGAGAATTGCTGAGAATTCAAGTGGGAAACCTCTGCGCTCTCGGCTCTCTCACCAGCTCTCGGTTCTAAATTGAAAAAATGCACTTTTCGAAAGCCGGTAGGAGGTGGTTCAGGGTCACAGCTACAGCTACGGTCGAAGCAGCAGTACTTTCACTCGGTCGTACGGTGCGTATACTTAATGTTTCAAAGCGGATGTTGCTCATACGCCGCATCGACCGAGAGTCGTTCGCATTGGCCCCACAAATTCGTTGCACTTGAAATTGCAACGGCTGCCCTTGGCAGGCGCTGCGTGTGGGTCGAGGCAATGTGCAATAAAAAACTAACAAATAAATACGTAATAAAAAGGGGGCTTAGTTTACACAAAAACATACAGTAATGGCTTCAAATAAAGCCTTTAACAAGCTCTTTATTGCGTTATATTAATTATTTATTTATTATATACTAGATAAGTAGTTGAATTCTGTTTCATATTTATTTAGCTTGTTGTTTCCTTAGAAGGTTAAAGAAGTCAGAGGCATTTGCTTCGAAATGTTTTTATTAAAATTAGTCTTATTCTGAATTATATTTTAGTGATTAGCTTAATTTTACATTAAAATGAGTTACTTTGAAAGCGAAAGAATATATTCTTTAAATACTTATGTTCCTTTTTCAGCTTCTAAAAAACTTTATTTAGGTCTTAAATGCTTTAAAAGTGTATTATTCATATAAAATAAGGCACTCATTGTTCTTCTATATATTTTTCTTGGAATCATCCGAGTTACAGCCATGGAGTTCCTTGAAATTTTCGGTCGCATAGCCGCAGACAAAGCCCAATAAAGTTCAAAGACCAAGCTCATTAACAGCAGCCGCAGCAGCCAACCCACACAATGCACGGGCCCGGCCAATTTGTTTATTTAATATGCATCCACAAAAGCCGCTAAATGGCCATTAATTAAATATCAGATCTGCCACGGCCAATAAATAAGAGACCACGACCACTCCCAGAGAGACGTCGGAACGAGCCCCGCCAAACAATGTAAATACCAATCGGCTATGCTACGCACCTGAGAGATCGGGAAAGTTCAAGGTTGCCAGCCAACCGGCGGGTGATGGTGATTATGCCAACTCTTCCACTGCGGGCAACTCCGGGCTAATGCTTCCGCCTTGGCAGATCGGTTGAATAACCCCAACTGGGACACCCCGACACTCCGATACCCGTGGCAAATTAGGGTCAAACATGTGCAGCCATCGAGCTTGGCTTGAAAATTAGACTCAACTTCGGCTGAGCATTAAATTCAGGGTCAATCTAGGCACTTTCGAAATATCGCACGGAGCCACGACTTGAGTCGGACATGGATTCTAAGCAAACTTGTCAATCATTGTTGTAATCGCTGTACTACATATACAGTGCATACACTGAGAGAAACCAATGGTGGCTTCAGAAGAGGTATTGAGTGCAACCAAACTAAAAGCTCCTACACAAATATCATTATTTATTTTGATATTATTGTCTTCCAGTTTAAAACATATAAATTAGGGCGCTAGTCACATTATATTTGACTAAAAGCTACAAATATTTTAACGATTTCAGTTTTCTTATTATTATTGGAGTATTTTATATTCTTATTTATCAATTCACATCATATCTTTACATCCTACCGATAAGGATTGTTTTTTTTATTAATATGCTCCAACTCACATCAGGTGCCCAAAGGTAAGGACACGTGTTTAATATTTGTATATTTTAGGTTAAACTTAATCCAAAATGCCTTTTTGGGGTTTTTAGGATTGAAGTACGTTATAGGAACTTTTTAAGCTATTTTCTCCAAGCATTTAAGTTCAGGAAATCTTATTATTATTTTCATAAACTCCCTAAATAGATAAACTCCTCAGGTTAACAATATTTGGGCATAATATATATATATTATTTTTCTACGTGACTATGTTGATATTAAAGAAATGGCAATGGTAACCTCTCATTATAAGATACCTTTTTTTCTGAGTACATGGAACTCAAACATATGAAAAATATACCTACATATATGTTCATATGTAACATCTGTGCGACTTTTGCCATGCGTAACACTGCCGGCAGGCAATCCAATCCAAATCCGACCTTTTTTGGGGGGCACTTTTATGGAGCATGAGAAACCGGAGGAGACAGACAGATATCATTGCTTTTAATTGCCCCGATCGCAGCGCCTAGGCCTAGGTCAGTCGCAATTGCAGTCTCCGCCATCTCGGGCTCAGTCTCGCAGTCTCTCTCTCAGCCTCAGCGCCATAATTAATTTAATAAAATGTAAAGCAGCCAGTTTGAAAAAAAAAAAAAATAAAATAACAAAACAAAAAACTTGACTCATTCTCGTCGCTCAGAAGCGACGACTTTGAGCGCGTTTCGGATTGGATTCGGTTGACTCACAACTTTTGAGTTCAACTCGTTTTTGTGGCATTCAACGGCAAGCGAATAAAAGTTCGCTGCCTCGAAATTCTATGATCAGTTTACAGTCTCAACTTCACCCAGACCCAGGTGTTCCAGTTTCGGTTAAAGGTGCCTTTGCCTTCCTTCTTCCCGCAGAGGATTAGCCCCCGCTGAAAAGTATCCATAACAAAGTGAGTGCCAAGTGCCGTGAAACCAAATCCCCTCCATTCGGATCGGTTGTGTGGGATCGTAACCTTGACTTTGGCTTTAATCAAAAAATAACAAATTTGACTCGGAATATATGTAATGGCGCCATTATACACACAGTGAACATATGCATTTAACAGTGGCTGTGATCTTGGAATTAATAAAGTGGAAAATGTGTGTGACCTTTTTAAAGGATATGAAATTATGTAAAAAAGGAATTGAATATTTAAATTATTAAAAATCATATCATCCCTTAAATTTGTCAAAGAAATTATTAAATGAAAATCTAAAGAAAATTAAAGAAAGAAATTAAACAAAAATAAGATTTCAAAATCAAAATTTGTTTTAATTAAATTTTAAATGATTTAAAGATTAATTTGAATTGTAAAAAATAATAATGTTTTTCCTACCTTTCGAGTTTGTTTAGATGGATAAAACTTTTTTCTTAAAATCTTAAATTATCAAAAAAAAAAATACTGCGATTAATGGATGTATCTAAATAATAATTTCCCTTACTTAAACTCCCTTTAAACATCTAAATTCATTATATAAATTAATGAAGAACTCCCAGAAAGACCACTGTGGCTGTATCTCTAGCCCGAGCTTGATTGCTTTGTTCCAAACCAAATTGGAGCACTCTACGTTTGACAATTAAAGCTCGCCATTCAGCCTGAGCTGCAGCCAGTCCAATTCTTATCAATAAAAAAGCCAGTTTCAGTTGCAAAAAGTTCACGGATTAGCAACTGTAACTCATTGGCGCAAATAGTCCGAGTCCGAGTGCGGGTTCGAGCCAAGATCTCCGCGCGCTGCCCACTCTCGACCATATGCGATAATTGATTTTCCCGTACATAATTTATGACGCACGAAACTGACAGCCGACTTGTAGATTAAAAACTGCCACTGACCGACCGACCGACCGGCGGACCGACAGGCGGCAATAAATCTGTCCATATCAGTTTATTAGAACGTCGGACAATATAATAATGCCAGCTCCTGCTCAGCTCCTTTTTAACCCCCTCTCACTGCCTCTCTGCAGCCAATCATCATGCTGACCGCCTGCCAAGTAGCGCTGATCGCCGGATGCTTGGCCACTCTAGCCGTGAGCTCCGTTCGGTCGCAGTTCTTCTACCACCAGGCGCTGGGCTTGCCTTCCACTCACTCCGCTTCTTACGAACCGGCCAATCCCTACCAGGGATATGCCACCGCTGATGCTCATCCTTCGGTGGTGCGGAATGCCCAATGGGAGGCCGAGCTGCCGCCAGAGCTCTCCAAAAGTGCGCGCTTCTATAATGATCCTGTGATTGCCGCCAACCTGGCCAAGGAGTCGCTGCTGACGAGAAAGGAAATGGCCGTGGTGCATCGTGAGGCTGAAAAAATACCCCGGGAACAGGTCTACAAGCTGTTCAAGAACGCCGGCTACCTGAATCGCAGATAGACAGCCGTCGCGTAGCCGAGCTGAGTTCCATTTCCCACGTGCCTTGTTGTATTCTAGCTTCTAAAAATTGTTAATATATTGTAAATACGATTAAATGTTTTTCTTTACATGTATAAAAGATTTTCATGGAATCAAAGTAGTGACTGACTAAGTTCTACATTTGCTTTTGGTATATAAATGCTGGAGGGGGGGAATCCTTCACTGAACATACAACTCAGCTCCGTTCCCGGGAAGCGTGGCAAAGACCACCTCGTTGAAGTCGTTGGGCTGATGGCGCTCCAGCAGATGGGATGGCAGCTGAGCATAGTAGTCCCGCTTCAGAGCCTTTATGTACGCATCCGCGGCTTCAACGGAATCGCACATGGCCACTATACAGCCGCCCCAACTGGAAAAGTACACAACAATTAATATAGGCACAGAATTGTACAGTTCTGTATAAGCTTACCCAGCTCCCGTGACACGAGCACTGACTTGCTGCTCATTGGATATGGCAATTAGACGCTCCACATCTGGATGCGAGCATTCGTAAAGCTCCCGGAGACTCTCGTGAGACTGGCGCATGAGCTCTCCCAGCTTCTTGGCATCCTCAAGACTGGGTCGCACAGCCAACTGCTCACAAATCTTCCGGAATTTGGCCACTCGACCAGTTTCTGTGAGGCCAAAAATAAAGTCAATAACTTGTGCGAAATGTAAGCGAGAGTTTTACAAGTAATATTTTTCAAGCTGGTAGAAAAACACTGTCAATGACTCATGAATTACCTCTAACTACTCGTTTAGCAATCAGGGATCGGAACATCTTATTTGCGATCCCTTTTTGCAATTAGTTAAATAAGCTAATTAATTGATTATAAATAATTTGTACTTAATTTATAAATTTAAAATATAAAATTGAATTTGTAAGACCCCAAACTCACCCTGAATAACGTGCAGGGCCCGCTGCCGCAGCTTGAACTGTTCCATGTGCCGCGTGTTGGCGGACAGAAACTTGGTCTCCAGTTCCTGCTCCGTGATGCCCAGCTCCTTGCAGATGTCCGCTCGCGTATAGTTCCATTTGGTGAGGTTGTCCTTGATCAACTTCTCGAATGTTTCGTTGTCCATTTGGCAGGCCTCCTCCAGATCGATGAAGCGCACAATGTCCTGCCAGTTGGCCAGACCCTTGTGCTTGGCCAGCCAACGCGTGGCCAGTCGGCACTCCACCACCCGTTCGTTGTAGTCCGATGAGGCGGCCTTGTTTTTCTGCGCCAGACTGTTGGCCACCACAAAGCACTTGCCCGCTGGCAATGTCACCGGAGTGCCCTTGAGCTTGGGATGGAATTCGATGTGATGGGCACAGCCGACGCGACCCAAGTAGGCGATGGCCTGGTCCATGCCACCGCTGTGCGTGCCAATGTATTGCTCACACTTGGCCGAAATGGAGGCCAGCTCCCGGCGATCCAGCTGCTTGCCCTGAACATGGGCCGTGGCCAGAACAGCGGAGCTGACCATGGCACTGGAGCTGGAGAGACCGGCGGCCAGGGGCACGTTGCCGTCCACAGCAATGCGCATACCAATGGATTTCCATTGGCTGCCCAGATTCTCCTGGATGCCCTTGATGCCGCACAGGAAGTAGTTGTACCAGGCGGGACCTCCACTTTTTGGTAGCTCAATTCTGGCATTGGAATTTATTAATGAAAAGCTTTGTTATTAGATCAATAACACTCACTTGAGAGTCTTTAGGTCCGCATCATAGCCCTGGAACTTGGCCTCCTCCAAATTCCTTAGCTGCAGCTGGCTGTCAGCAGGATTTTTGGCCACTGCCAGGAAGATGCTTTGGCTCACAGCCATGGGCAGCACCGAATAGCCGCAGTAGTCCACATGCTCCCCAATGATGTTGACTCTGCCACGATTGCAAGTAAAAGTTAAAAAAAATTAACAACAATTAACAACGTAACCAACCTTCCTGGAACACGAACGTAGAACTCGGGATCTACTCCGAACTGCTGCTTGAAGAAGGCGCCCAGGTTCTGGACACGTTCGTAGATCTTGGAATTCGGCTGAAGCTTCTCCGGTGCCACGAACTGAACGCCGCCGGCATCCGCAGCCCTAGCAGTTCCATTCCCGTTGGCAGTCATGTTCACCTGTCGGCGGTTGAAATTTTAATAACACTTCATCATCATTCCAGCAACCGTAGCTGGTGCGACGAACCGTAAACGTGTCGCAAAACAACTCGTTAATCTTTATTTACTGCCCAAAACACATTATCATACGTAAACAAACCGCACACACACACACGACACGTTGCGTCGTTGCACCTGTACGTCAGCGAGGGTGTGCAAAAATTAGCTTATCAGGCCGGTGCTTACCTTATCAGAATGTCGAAGTAGCTATTGGCACACAAAGTGGTGAACTAACATGTTATCGGTTGGGGAAGCAGTAAGCAAAGCACTGAAATCCCAGATTGAGAACTTATTTAGCGCTTTAATTGGAAAAAACAAAGTTCAAAAATGCACTCTGCCGGCAAATGAGAGAAGGGCGTGCGAGAGCGAGAGGGCCAAGGCTAACAGCTGTCTATTTAGAGTGGCCAAAGCGTGCGAAAGCTTCTCTCAGGACATGAACGGGATTTTGGTACCGTTACAATTTGTTTGTTTCTGATATCGTCAAAATAGATAAATTTAATTTAACCCTTAAAAACATAAGCAATGAAAACAACTACAACAATTTGCTGTTATCTCACATCAAGCACATATTTTAACATTTGTTTTAATAACATTTCAAAATACCGTTGCATCACTTGTTGTTCACATTACAAATTAGACCTTGATAAAAATTGCAATTGTTTAAGAGTTTTGCTTTTTTGCCGATACATACCCAGAAAATTTCTTATCTTTCTCTTTATGAGGTCAAATTAACTTGGAGCGGTTCTCAGGCCTTATCACAGAAGTTCTAGTTTTCGGTGTGAGCACGTCTCGCGTTGCGTTCCATCAAGCAACTGAGCAATCCGACCCGTGCCGTTTCCGTTTTTGTTAGGTCCGGAATTCATACGGTTGGACGTCTTTATGGGAAACCAGCTTGGTTTCAACTTGTTTAGTTGCTAATAGAGTACTTAAATGTTTTCATTTTAGAAGGAAAAGTATTAATTAGTTGTAATTTTTTATTTGAATACCAATGATATCCATCTTAGCGATGCCCTACTGTAAAGGGGGTATCAGTAGGAACTTGTTGAGAGTTTTGTTTGTTTTAATGTTGCTGTCTTCACCGTTATATAGGTCAAACGTTCTTCATAATATACACACCAATGCTCTCTGGCTTGCGTTCTGTAAAACAGGTTTCTGAATTTCTATCACCTTAAAATGTGGTTTTTGGCCCCCACTTAAAGAAAGGCCATTACCTTGGTCATCATTTTGTCATTAAACTGAAGTATTTGCTCAGATGATAAGATTCAAAGTGTTTGTGCAATTAAATCATAAGTGAAATATGTGAATCTAATAAAGATAAGATTAAGCATTTTAAAAGAAAATATATGTATAAAAACTATTCTCGAAAAAAACAGCTTGAATGTTTCAAATCAGTTAAAACATTGTTTATATTTTTGATTTTTAAATAAATTCCGTTGTCATACATACTTGCCAGATGGTAAACAGCCACCTGAAAGCGCTGCCAGCTCGTTTTTCGCCTTCCTAAAATCGATATTTTTATAGAATCGATAGTCTCAATATTGAAATCGTTTTTTTTGCCATCCCTATCATCACTTGAAAGATATTTGTTTTTGAAAACGGATTTTCCCGAGCCAGAAAAGTGCAAATTACCATTTGCACCTGCACCCAAGTAGCACCTGGCGTTGGCCCCACCGCGGAGACAATCGAGACAATGTCGAGCTTGCAGCGCACGATGCTGAAGGGCAAATTGCCACCCACAATTCCTGGCGGGCGCATCGGAAGAGCGTAAGTGCTGCTGCTGCTGCGAAGGAGGGATGAGGCGTACGCGGTTACCACCTAATTTGGCTAATTGCAGGGACTCCTTCAAGAAGTCGCGCATCCGCGACTACAAGCCGGGCATGTGGAACGAGTTCTTCGCGGAGAAGGAGGACGTCACGGTGGATGAGCAGCGTACCTTTCGGGTCTACCGCACCAAGCAGCCGGATAAGCCGGGACCAGTACTGCTTTTGCTCCATGGCGGCGGCTATTCGGCGCTCACCTGGGCGCATTTTTGTGTAAGTATCTGGGAAATTTGCTACGCGTTGAGGTTGTTTATTAATTGGTTATTTGATTAACTACGCCCACCTGTAGTCGGAGGTAACGAGTATGATCCACTGCCAGTGCCTGTGCATCGATTTGAGGGGTCACGGCGATAGCAAGGTGGATGACGAGGACGATCTTTCAGCGGATACGTTGGCCAAGTGAGTTTATTCCATCTGAAATCTAAAGAATGAACAAAGTTATAGAACCAGTTTTTTTTTAAGGTTTTGTTGCAATAGTTTATAATTAAAAAATATGTTTCTAAAATGTTCCTAATTTTAACCTTCGGTAAGAATTTAGTGACCTTTATATTGGTTTTTTCTTACATGTATATATTTGAAAACAATGACGTAATCCCATTGGTAAAATGTATATTATATAAACTGTTTTTTTGTATTTATTATTTAAATTATTTTTTTAATTCAAGTTTTTTACAAACACTACACAAATACCCACATTTTAAAATTGATGTTGAAATTCCCTTAAAACAGAGACATTGCCGACTTGCTCCTGAAGCTTTACCCCGAGGATATGCCACAGGTCTATGTCGTTGGCCATTCGATGGGCGGCGCCATTGCCGTGCACTTTGCCCACATGGCTCTGGTGCCCAATTTAATTGGAATAACCGTCATCGATGTGGTGGAGGGCACTGCCATGGAGGCTTTGGCCAGCATGCAGAGCTTCCTGCGCTCCCGTCCAAAGTATTTCCAGAGCATACCAAATGCCATCGAATGGTGCATCCGTAGCGGCCAAGTGCGCAATGTAGACAGCGCCAAGGTGTCCATGCCGGGTCAGATAATCAAGTGAGTCCAACTACATTCCTCTAATTATTAAAGTACTAAATATAGTGCATATTTCGCCCCTTAAGCTGTACAACGAACAAACTGGCAACGAATGACCTGCCATTGCCCGATGATGTCCTGGAGGAGGCTCACCACACCAGTATGTTTCCCAATCCGTTTAGCATTTCCGAGGATGAGGAAGTGTCGCCGCCAGGCGATGAGACAAGCGAAGGCGAAAGTGCAGCAGCGGGCACTGATTTCAAGAAGCCCGTCACGACCAAAGCGAATACCGATGCAGCCAAGAAGTAAGCTCAAAATTACTTACTGTGACCTTTAATCTGATTACACATCCCCACTTTTTTTCAGTTACACCTGGCGTATTGATCTGTCCAAGTCAGAGAAGTACTGGGTCGGCTGGTTCTCCGGTCTGAGCGACAAGTTTCTGAACTTACGCCTACCCAAGCAGCTGCTCCTCGCCAGCATCGATGGCCTGGACCGTACGTTGACCGTTGGCCAAATGCAGGGCCGTTTCCAGATGCAGGTCTTGGCCCGTTGCGGCCACGCTGTCCACGAGGACCGTCCACACGAGGTGGCTGAGGTGATTAGCGGCTACTTGATACGAAATCGGTTTGCGGAGGCCGCCGGCGAGTTTCGCTGCCACATGCCGTCGTGCTAAGCGAGCCGTAGCTGCAGCCGCCCCTGAATCCAAGGTTGATGAGCACAAGCTGAGGTCACAACAAAATGTCTATTTTTGAATGGAGCATTACATTTTGAACTAACACAGATGCGTGCATATATATATATATATATATATATACATGTAGTGAGTAGGTGCAGATATATATATATAGCCGTATGTATATTCTATATACGCGTATAATCAAGTAATTTATTCGGTACTTTTAATTAAATCTATGAATTTCTAACGTTGTACTTTATACTCATTTTTGCCAAAATCAAAACCAGCGAAACCAACGAGGAAAGCAGGAGCAAAGACCTTATAATAATAAGATGCATAAACATCGTAGGGCGTTACTCATCTTGTTAATACAATGTCTTTGGCAGGCGGCTTCTTAGATTGTTGTTACAATGAGTGTGTATTAAATATGTGCCAGAGATCAAAATGAAATTTAACGAAATCCAAATTATACCCATACGAATGCAAATAAGTTGAATAAAGCTATTTATTAATCGAATGTTAACTGAAATTCACGCTCGACTGGAATTAATCTTGGCATTTATTGAATTCGGTTTGCTCGTTTTGAAAAGAAAAACATGAAACTTTGCCAACAGGGAATAACACACACATTTTTAGTCCACAAAACGGAAGCCACCATCGGACTTCATCTTCATCTTGGACTCCAAGGCCTGGATGCGACGCAATCGCTCGGCGATCTGTTCGCGTATCTCCGGACGATACTTCTTGCCCTGGCCCAGGGACTCCATTTCCGTCAGCCACTCGGCTCGCTCGTTGATCTGGTCCAAAACTGTCAGATGGTAGGGGTTAATATGGAACCTAAAGCTTCAAGTCTTTCCACTTACGCTCATTGATGAGATCCTCTTCGGTTACATTTTGCTCTTCGCGTGGACGACGACGCGGCTTGATGGCCGGATCGGGCAGATGAGTGCCCGCCATGGTGAACTGCAGCTGAGACTTGGCCTTCTCGCCTTGCATACGATTGTCGGTGGGCGGACGGTAGTAGCTCTGCTTGTAAGCCCCGCTGGCCTCGATCTGGCGAAGATTCTTGCGCTTGGCATTGCGTGCACGCTCTAGGATGGCCAGTGTCTCCTTGTCCGGATCATTGTTGGTATTGGGACGCGGCGGCGCTGGCAATGGCAAAGGATCGCCAGTACGAAGGCTCTCGTCGATCTGCTTGCGCACCATCATCGACATTTTGGACTCTTTGACGAGTACTATTCAGAGATTGCAGAACTTTTATTAGATTCACAAGAAACAATTGGGAATCTCCCGAGTCCTTTGTGGTGTTGGTTAGTGGGGACTCGGGAGATTTCCAGCAACTTCTAGGCCTCTACTTTTTGACCATTTTGCTCAGAATATACCTAACCCCCCTCTAAGGTATTCCCTCCCCCACAAACCAACTTACATCGAATCAGATCGGCGGTCTCCTTGCTATACTGCACCTTTGCCGTATGAAAAGCCCCAGCACCGCCTGGAACAATCCGTTCGCTTGGCCACATCGGTATCTTCTGCCCGCCATCTCCCTGCGGCTCCTGCTGGGCCATCAAACCCCCGGGCAGGGCCTTGATCTGAACATTATTAAAGCGATGTCGACTCATTTTCTGCTAAAATCTATGTAATTTGGGTAGAATTATGCGGAAATAGCTTCGTTAATTTCGTCGTGTGGCGTGTTTCAAGAATACCTTCGGTATGGGAGTTGTTTTACGACGGACAACAAACCCGGAGACGCATGGCAACCTGCGTTGTTAGGCAAAAGGCAAACAGCATGGGTATTTTTTGTTTGTTTTTAATTCTCGAAATAATTTATTGAAAATAAATATATATGTGGGGGTGTGTGGGGGGGTAGGTACACACATCCTGATAGACTATCCTTTGCACACATTCTTCGTCTACGAGTAGTTGCACTTTACATTAAACCATTTAATTTTGTCGCTAAAATACAATTTTAGGCTATTTCTTTATCCCAACTTGCGCCGTACACAATCTAGGCTGTTGTTTATTAATAAATAAAAGCATATCAGCAATTTACAATGTTGCGGTTGTTGTAGCTATTTTTGAAATATCGACAAGAAATTAGAAAACGAAAAACATTTCCAAGCAAGATTTACACATGCGGTTTGTTCGGTTTCTTTTGTTTTTACACAATTAAAATTAGGCTACGCGTTTTTACGCTCTCTTATTGGTATTGATTTTTTGGCTGCCTTTGCCTCGCCATCGTCGTTAATTAAGCTTATTATGCTGCGACATACATTCGTTCGTACATCTAAATCTATATATAATGTATAATTTCTTTGAAAACAACTAAAACATAACATCATCATATTGAGTGGTTGATAAACAATTGACTAAAGCAAACATAATGGTAAGTGGTAGAGATAGATGATCGAGGATTATTATGCATATGCTTATGCACTGCTCGGGGGTCGGGGACTTACGCTTACTTATACAAAATACAATACAATTCCTCCTTCGATTCCAACACAACAATATAGACAGTGAAACATTGAAGTTTAGTGTTGTTCCTCCTCCTCCTGTCTGGGGTTCAGCAAACATGTTCCCTTTTTAATTTAAAATAAATTATGTGTGTACGTGTATATACTACATAAACATATCCATTGTGTGACTTTTACTACATCATTCAGCAAGCAATGTTTTTGATTCGCGCCAACAGCTCTCTCAGCTTTCGTTTCTAGTTTCTCATTCCATCTCAAGCTTCCCTTCAAGTTTTCTTTAGTTGCGAAAAGTAATCTTAGTCAGTCTCATGGTCACGATGCAGAGTTCATTTTATAATTTTCACTAGATAAACCTTTTTCGTCGTCGTTCAGCGGGGGTATTCCTTTAATCCTTCGTTTGGGTGGATGGTGATGGATGTTTGAATTAGAATAGCGTAAAATGTTGATCGAATTTGGCCAAATTTTCCTACGTAGAGAGAAGTTATTGTGTATTGTGTGTGTGTGGTGTGTGTGTGTTGTTAGTTGAACTACAGAAATGGCGACGAACATTTACGAAACCTAGACATTAATAACATTGACATTGCCACGCCCCGCTGCCCGCCAGCTGACCTGGGGATGGTGCAGAGGCAAACTGGGCTCCATGGGTTCCCAACGGCCAGCCGTTGGACCTGCGAGCACGACCAGCTGGAGAGCAGCTTCTGGGAGCGTCTCTTGGCACACATAATTAATAAACTTAACATTTAAACAAACTATATATCGGCTTACGAACTAAAAACGATTACAAAACGGCATGACAGGGGGCAGAACTAGACGCGTCACAAACATAGATACGATTTTTACAAAACTATATATATATATATATGTATAAAAACATTAATGTTCGTTTCTTGCAAAATCAAACTTTAAACACGGTTCAAAGCTAGGTGTGAACACAAAAGAGTGTGTGTGCTGGCAGCTGGCTCAGTTCATGGCCTGCTCAGTCATTTGGCGGCACAGCGTCTCGAGTTGTTCCAGACTCTTGAAATCGTTCAGCTTGTACTCGGCGACGTGGGGCGACATTCCGCCCAGGCCCACCAGTCCTGGCTGGGACAGGCAATGATCAACGGCATTGTTATTCTTGCTGCTTTGCTGACAGAGATTGTGGCCACAGGCACTACCATTTACACCGCCACCATTGGAGCACAGACAGCTGCCATTGCTGACAGCGGCGGCGGCTGCAGCCAGCAGTTGCAGCTGCTGTTGATTTATCAAATTGTTATTCAGCATGCTGTTGTTATTGTTGTTGTTGCTGCTGATCAGGATCTGCGGCTGCTGATCATGCTGCTGCTGCTGCTCCTGACTTTGATTACTAACCATCACAACGGCGGCCATTGTCTTCTTTGGTTGCTGCTCCCCACTGGACAGGGTTCCTCCATTTCCGCTGAGCTTCCGCTGCTGCTGCTGCTGATTGCGCTCCATCACCAAGCTGTCGTTGGATCCACTGTTGGTCAGCACTCCCTGGCCGGGCTTGAAGATCAGCTGCTGTGGCTGCTGCGGTCCGCCGGCCACCAGGATCAGATTGTTCAGCGATCGGCGGTGCGACTGTGGCGGTGTCTGCTGTGGCAGAGCCGGAAAGTGATTGTGCTGCTGCAGCATCTGTTGCATTTGCTGGGCATGATGGTGCGGCTTGAGGGGCTGCTGCTGCTGCGGATTACCCATGAAACTGGGGTAGGAGGAGCTCTTGTACTGCGGCTGATGCGACGGACCGCCACCGTAGCCATTGTAGTCGAACTGCGGCAACGGCGGCGGCGGGAGCGGCTGTTGCTGCTGTGGATGGTGGGGCAGCGGATGCTGGAGGCAGTTTAACGAGAAATTCAGCATGTCGTTGGAGTTCTTGCGGTTGTTAATCCTGTCGTTGCTGCCGTTCTTCGTATCGCACTTGCGAGTCTTGCCATTCCATCTGTGCAAAAGGCGAGAGTTAGTTACTAATTCGAATCTTTCCGGAACACCAACACTTACCTTGGTTTGTTTATGCTTCCATTGCTGGGACCGCTCACTACTCCCGGCTTCACATGATGCAACTTCGGCACCATGGAGATCTTCAGCTTGGACAACTTGAACTTCAGCTCCTTAAGCTGATTGGCATGGTTCATGAATGCCTCGTTATGTATGGAGCGGTCCAGTATCCACATAAACACTCCCAGGGTCTCGTCGTCCTGCGCAGCATACGGATCCTGCTGCAGAGTATTACTCACAATATCGATGACCTTGAGGAAGCGCAGTCCAATGTTCTCCTCCGGCGGCCCAATGGCCTCCACTGGTTTCATCGGCGTCAACACAATGTTCGTTAGCTCCTCGACCGCCGTGCTCAGCTTCATTTGGCCCGTAATTAGCTCCTGTTCGACACGACCAAGAATGTGGGCTCGCTCTTTCAGCTTTTCGATACACAGGGCCAGCTTGTGGGAGGCCCCTTTTGTCACTCCAACGCTCTGCAAAAAGTCCTCGGTGATCAGCAGCATCTCCTCGTACGTCATGTTCTTGAACAGCTCGATGTACTTGTGCAGGCGCAGGGACTTTAGCCAGAGGCCAATGCCTGACATGCCCACATTGCGGGTGTGGAACTTGATGTAGTTGGGCTTGAACTCGTCCAACCGCGTATCGGAGCCACTGTTGGCCAGGGCTCCGCGCTGGTGCTCAATGGAGAGGGAGAAGCTACGCGGCTTGTTGGCAAACTGGGCCAGGTTCTCCGTGGAATTGGAGCAGTTGTCGTTGACGGTGATCACCGATGAGTTGGATGAGCTGGAGCAGCTGGAGATCGTTTGTGTGGTGAGACTGTTGGAGCGTCGCGTCTTCAGTGCCGCAATCTTGCTGTCCAGACTCCAGCGATTGATGTCGCCAAACTGATCGCCTACATTGCCCATCAGGATCGAGGCATAGGGCGGGGCCTGGAGGAACTGCTGCTGCTGGAGATGCTGCGGCGGCTGCAAGCGATCGTTGAGGGCGTCCACTGCCGACGAATTGCGGCATAGATTACTGGTGCTGGCCAGGCTGCTGCTGCTGCAGGCCTCTCCCATGTCCGCCGTGGACGGATCAAAGTCAAGTATTTCCGTGCCATTCTTGCTGAACGACGTGTCATGGTCGTCGCCGCCACCAATTCCAAGCATCGAGCCCGCTGCCGCTCCAGCAACGACGCCGTTGACCAGCGAAGAGCTGCCCTCAAGTGACAGGCCGAGGCTATTCTGACTAGATGCTAATTCGTTCAGGGTAATACCATTTAGATTATCACAGAGTGGATTGATCGATCCGTTGGAGCTGCCGCCGGCTCCAGCTCCTCCTGCGCTGCCGCGCCAGTCTCCACTGCCGGCCAGCTTGAGCTGCAGCTGCTTGCTGGGCGGAGCAATCGTTTGCCAGTCGTTGGTACGCGAAGATCGGCTGCCACTGGCCACCGACGAACAGGAGGCTGTCGAGGAGCTGGCCGCTGACGAGGAGCAGCTACCACTGCCTGTGGAGCTTCCACCGGCCACCAGTTGCGGGGAGGGCTGCAGGAAGTAGCTGCGATTAGTCAGGCCCGCCGCCGCCGCCTGGATGTGATCCTCCAGGTGACGCAGCCAGATATTGAGCGACCGTCGGTCGTCGCTGGTGATAGCCGGATGGATGAGCAGGTATGAGAAGATCTGCTGCACCAGCTCCGTGGGCACAATCTGCTGCATGGTGTCCTTGACGGCCACCGGAATTAGGGTCAGGTAGATGAGCTTGGCCTCCTCGTTGCCGGGCTTCAGCAGCGGCAGCATGTTGAGCACCTCGTGCAGTATGTCCTCCTTGCGGGCGTACAGCTTCCGCTCGTCGCACTGCGCCGATGTGGTGATCTGAAAGTCACTGCCGTAGCATGGCATCGAATCCTTATCCGATGACGAGGAGGACATGGCATCGAGGAGATCGCAGGGCTGGAACGTCTTGTAGGCATTCAGCAGATTCTGCAAATACGCCGGATTGTTCGCATTGATGTCTATGACCACGCTGCTGAGGTTCGTCTGCGAGGTGCCCAGATTCTGGGTCAGATTGCTGTCAATCGAATACTGAAGGAACTTGAGGCTCGGGTAGCGCAGACGCTTTAGCAGCGCGTACATCACAACGGTTCGCTCGCAGTCGTTCCACTTCTCAAAGAGATTTGTCACTGTGGTCACCTGCTCGCAGAACAGAGCATTGGACGCCTGGTTCTGGTTCTGGCTGGGATTGGGGTTCGGGTTGGAATTGCCATTGGCCTGTGTGGCCGTCGTCGTGGCTGCAACTGCTGTTGCTGCTGCCTCCTTGGGCGTGGATGTGCTGGGGAGCTGGTGCATCTCGTGCGCTGATGCACTGTTGTCAGTTGTTCCAGTTTGGTACTTCATCTCGTTGTTAGTTATAGTTTGCTGCTTGTTTTGGTTATGTTTCCTCTTGGTTTCCTATTATAATTTATGGTATTATAATTGTAACGGCTTCTTGGTGCTTATTTTTGGTTGCGTTTCCTTTTCCTGAAATAAACAAAAGTTTGGATTTTATTACTGGTTTGCACCTATAACCACGTGATCGGCTTCCAATCACTTGTCATATTTCCAAGAAGACAACACTTGGAGTGGCGTGCGTGACAATAAAATCAACTTGAAGCTCGAAACTTAATCAAATCAGTTTTCGCTAATTTGTTAAATTTACAAGCCGAGCAGTAGCAGCAACAACTACACCAATAATAGCAAATAATCTGTAATTGACGAATGGAAATTAGCATTTGCATGGACTGTGTCGGCTGTCGGCTTATCAGGTAAGCAAATAAATAACAAAATATATAACACCTTCGTTTGGGCGATGGCGCAAGTGACGAGCAGCAGCGACGACGGCGATATATAAATCAATAAAATAACAAACATTTTAACTCGATTTCGGGATTTCGATTGCAGGGGAGGCAGGGGAGGACTGGGGATTAGTGGGGGTGCGACGTCGACCCAGAAGTTTGGTTAGGTTTCATGCAGTTCGCAGTTCGCACTTTTCATTTAGTTTCGTTGTTGCCATTGCTGCTCATTGCTTGTCTCTTGTGTGTGTGTGTGCCCATTTTCGAATCTTGTTTCTTTCGCCTGCTGTTTCTTCTCCCCTTCTTGCTGCCAATGTTGTTGTTGTTTCTGGTGTTGCTCTGGCGACTTTCTTCGATTTTTTTCTACTGTTATAATTTAAACCTCTCAGCAATGCAGCTGCGTGTGTGTGTGTGCGTGTGCGGCGGGCAAGCACTAAAACATAACGGAGCCCAATTACTGCATTAAAAGCACAGCACACCAGCTACTGCCGCCGTGGAATTTACCAATGTTTACTTTTTTACTATTTAACGCTTTTCGATGAAAAGTTTCACATTTTTTGCCAGCGACGAGAGTAGCGGTAGCCATCATTTTTCCTGTCGCACCTCGATCTAACGGTACCCCTGTCGCGATCTTTGAGGTTATGCGTCACTGCACCGCTGCAATTGCTGTTATTTTCTAACCGGCTTTTGCTAAAAGTTCCCAAAGTTCAATAAACGCGCTCACACAAAGGCACATCCACACACACGTACAGTTTTTGCGAAAAATCCTGGACGAACTTGAAACTCACACAATATTGCGCCTTGCGAATATTTGCCTTTTCAGCAGCAAGCGCGATCACAGCCGTTTGGCATACTCTTTATTTACTTTCTCGCATGCACAATATAAATTTGATTATCTGTAGTTGGGCAATCGCACTCAACATACAGATGGAGAGACAAACACAAAACAATGCTTGTTTTTATTAAATAAGCAAAGATGAGGACTGCACTGAACCGAGCACTGGGATGAGATGCGATGCGATGCTGCAGTGGGGGCACCGCGGAGGAGGAGCGGCTGATGGCGAATGATTGGCGATTGGCGATGGCGCTGCCGCTGGCGTCAGCGAAATGTGTGTGGCGTTTTAGAAAGAAAATGGTGGAGCAAGCGAATCGGACCAAAAAGGAAGCAGCGGGAGCGCGCCTTTTTTCTGACAGCCCCGAAAGGAACGGGAACGCAACGATGCTGCTTCTGTCACGGAAGATGGGGAGAGAGAGTGAAGGGGTGGGGAGGAGACCTTGCCAGTGCTGCTGACGCGCGCGTCAGTGTGAGTGAGGGAGAGTGACACACTGAGCTAGCGAAATGCATGAGGCAATGCACGGGCGAAATTGCGGCAAATTACATGAGAGAGCATTACAGGGCAGCTGGCTCTCGCTCACTCTTTTGCTTTCCGCTTTGCTAACATGCATTGCACACAATTGTTTTCATTTCCACACTCACTTTCCGTGCCTGCCGTCCGTCGTTTTCTTGCAAGGCGAGCGGGGAGAGCAAGGGATGAGGCTGGCTCTTGGGGTTTGTTGTTTCCACAGCACACACACACACCCAGATTGGCCCCCAAAATCACGCCCCACCCACCTTAGCCACGCCACGGTCGGCCAGACAACAAAAATATATGGCGTTTGGCAGTGTGCGCTTGTGCCAAAATCGTTCGTTCTATTTTTCAATTACCTTTTTGCCTTCTATTCGCCTGCTGCAAACCTTGAAATTATTTTCTGTTGCAATTCACAGTTTTTGATCGCTCCGCAGCACGAAAACCGAGCATATTTCGCTAATTTGATATGCTATCGGACCTCGCATTTATTAATTTATAATTTTCACCTTTGCTATTCCTGCGCGCGCGTATGTGTGTGGCGGTATGGGTGTGTGTATTTTTTATTAGCACTTTTGGGCCTTGTTGTTTTTGCTAAATCATAACTGCACATCGCCTTTTTTTAGCCACACACTGCCTGCGGGTTCGCGCAACGTGCTTTCACAAATGCCCGGAAACGGAGAACTGCGCTCGGCCGTTGTTGCACATAGTTGTATGCATGTTTTCGCCAGCGTTTTTAGTTTTCAGCAAATAATTAATTATTAATTTTCACGCGTTGGGACAGTGTGACCCGCGGCTTGTTTTTCGAAAACGCGGTAGGGTTGTTGATTATCAAAATTTCGAAATCGCAATATTTTTGATATTTGTTGATATTTTCTCCTTGGTCACTCTGAATTTCAAAGTAAAATGTCAATTTACATCTTGGGGTCGAATTCTCGTTTTTGGGGTCGAATTCTCGTTTTTGGGGTCGAATTCTCATGTAGAGTGTAAAAATGTAAGTATATCAAAATACCGAAATTGCGATATTTGGTATTTTCTCCCTGGTCACTCTGAATTTCAAAGTAAAATGTCAAAACAAGCTTTTACATGTAGAATGTTAAATGTAAGTAAAATAGTCTGGCACTTTTGGTCGCTGGGACCCAAAAGTCTGGCAACTCTGGTCGCTCGTGCCGCGGTGTTGCCAGACTTTTGAGTCCCAGCTACCAGAGCTGCCAGACTTTTCGATCCCAGCTACCAGAGTTGCCAGACTTTTTGGGTCCCAGCGACCAAAAGTGCCAGATCGTCAATGTCCAATGATGTTCCAATGAAAGCGGTTATTTAGAGTGACCCATGGGCCTGTGGTTTTTAGGCGGAAAAGAGCGGCGGGCACTCTGCAGCCTGGACGCAAATCCCAATTGGAATAAAAACTAATGTAAATTCGGTTTTAAAATGCAAATTCCCAGCTATGCACTAAACCGACGACGATCTGGGACAGAGCACGACACAAGGCAGTGATTATATTGCGAGAGAGTTAGGCCACACAAGCCAAAGGAACCCAGAAACGCCCACGGCAACTACAGGATAGTAACCAAACATCACAATCGCCTTCAACCTGCTGCTGCTGCGATAACAATGTTCGCCCAGACGCAGAAGAGCAGCTTCCTGGAGCAGACAAAGGCGGCGCGCGAGGAGCGGGCATTGGAGAAGCGCCGGGAGCTGGCCGCCATCCTGCTGCAGTCCACGCTCAAGGGATACGCGGCGCGCAGGAAGTACCAGAAAAGAATCATGTAAGAAGGGATTCCATGGTTAACTCTGACACTAAAGCATCCTCATCCCATATTTTAGACTCGACTTTGATGCCGTGTTCCCCGACTGCCAGGATGACAAGGACACGGAACTGGAGCTGGTGGCCATTAATGTGTATCCACTGCTAAGGCGCTACCTTACACAAATCAAGCTGGATAAGACGGATCCTAGGGCCAGAGAGCGATTGGAGCGCATCTGCCGGTACGTCATCAAGGCCATGGAGGCGGAGAGCCCGAAACTCTCGTACGCCGCCCTGTGCCTGCACAAGGAGCGCAGCCTGCCGTGGATAGCGCACATCAAGCTGCTGCTAACCAACTGTATGCTCCTGCTGCCTGAGCTAAAGCCGGAGAACCATGCTGACAGCCTGTCGCTGGCCCTTTTCCTGCACACGCTGGTGGTGTTTACGGCGCCCAAGTCCTGGGCGATACTGCGCAACTCGCAGTTTGAGCGACTGCAGCCCGCCATGCAGAAGGTGTGCTGCAATATCCAGGGGCATCTGGTGCAGAACGACTTCTACAGGATCATGCGGGTGGGTTTGTTGGGATTTGCAAGTAAAAAACTTAATTATTCCCCTCTTACAGCTCGTCCTGCTGCGCGGCACTGTTCGCGAGGAGTTGTCCATGAAGCCGGTCACTTTTGTGGCCATCATCACTTTGTGTCTACGTCCCTTGATCGACGGGGACTTTAGCCGCAATCTGCTGACCAAATTCCTGTCGGAGATTCTATCGGTGCCCGCCTTGATCTACCATTTGCATCAGAGTGTGCCGCAGTGCCTGGAGCAGTTCGCGACGCTGGGCCTGCTGAAGAAGGCGCTGAGCATCTCTGAGGACTTCCAGTGGTTCGAGGAGTTCGGTGCTAGCATGCCGGGCACCAAGTCCCTGGCGTTCCTGGGCAACATTGTCAACCTGTTCAACATTGAGGGCCAGGCGGAGTCCAAATCGCTGGCTTATCCCCTACTGACTGTAAGTGGAAACACAATCAATCTCTGACGAGTCTGACAACTCTTGTCCCTCAGGAAACCACCACATCGCTGCTGGAGCTAATACCCAACACGGTGACCACCAAGGGCGTCTTCACTCAATGGCACGAGCTGCTGGGCTGGCACACTCCGGGGCCAGAGCCAGCACAGAACCAAAATGTGGCTCTGATCAAAAAGCAGTTTCACATGCTGTGGGATCATCGCTGCATTAAGATGCTGCTGGGCGATCTCCTCAAGGATATCAATCGGAATTACGAGCGCATTGAGTTCCAGTCGCCCCAGCAGCCTTCCACCTCAAACCTGTTGCGTCGTGCCCTGGAGCGCAGCTCGACGCGAGGCGGAGGAGCGACTAGCAAGCAGACGAAGCAGCAGTGGCGACGGCTGGACAATGCGGAGGTGCTGCAGGTGTCACGCATTTGCGGCATGTACTATGCCGCCCTCAACACGCTCTCCCAGATGAAGCTGGACATCCTTACGGGGATTTGTTACAACGATAATGTGCTCTACGATATCTGGTTGCTGATCACGTCGCTGGGCCCGAACTGCGGCATGAAGGAGTACCTGGAGCTGCTCAAGTGCGAGACGAACCTGCAGAAGCCCCAGACGGCCATGCTGATGCTCTTCTGCGACTGCATGACCCACTATGTTACGTAAGTGGTTTTAGAGTGACTGCTGATCATTGTTACATATATTTTCCTGCAGAATTCTGGATGAATATGAGATGTACACGGAGCAGAATCCCTTCAAGCTGAACGACTATGTGATGCTGACCTATTTCCTCAACAATATGCTCTACAAACTAATAAATGATAATATTTTGGGTGAGTTTGGGTTGATATTTAATATCGTTATCTGTCTTCATACAATCTCCCACCATCAGGAGCCAAGAACATAGTCCAGAATCCTGTATTCCTGGCCTTGCACACACTGATGCTCTGCCTGTATCGCCGCGATTGCCGTCGCCCGTTTACCCCGCCCAACCACTGGCTCATACCGGAGGTGAAGCCCTCGACGTTCATCAACGACCTGGAGAAGGCCAAGCGGAACGCCATGCTGCTGCTGGCCAAGATGCCGCACATTATCCCGCACGAGGATCGGGTCAAGCTCTTCCGCAAGTTTGTGCAGAACGAGAAGGCGGTGATGGGTCTCACGGAGAGTGCCTGCGCCTCGCCGCGCTCCGCCTTGATTGTGATCCATCGCGAGCGGATCGTGGAGGACGGGTACCGGCAACTGGCCGCCCAGCCCACGCAGGCCCTCAAGGGTGTCATCCGTGTGAGATTCATCAATCAGCAGGGACTGCACGAGGCGGGCATTGACCAGGATGGCGTGTTCAAGGAGTTCCTCGAGGAGACCATCAAGAAGGTGTTTGACCCATCGCTGAATCTGTTCAAGACCACCTCCGACCAGCGGCTATACCCGTCGCCCATCTCCTACGTCCAGGACAATCACCTGCAGCTGTTCGAGTTCGTTGGCCGCATGCTGGGCAAGGCCGTATACGAGGGCATCGTGGTGGACGTGCCCTTCGCCTCCTTCTTCCTCTCCCAACTCCTCGGCCAGACGCAGCAGGCCCTGTACTCCTGCATGGACGAGCTGCCCTCGCTGGACAACGAGCTGTACCGCAGCCTGACCTTCATTAAGCACTACAAACAGGATGTGGCCGATCTCAACCTGACCTTCTCCGTGGACCAGGATGTGATGGGCAAGATAGTCACGCACGAACTGCATCCGGGCGGCAAGGCCCGCGTGGTTAACGATCACAACAAGCTGGTTTACATCCACTACATGGCCTTCTTCCACATGAACACCCAGATCCGTGAGCAGACGGTGGCCTTTAATCGTGGCTTCCGCAGCATCGTCAACCCGGAATGGTTGTCCCTGTTTTCGCCACCGGAACTGCAGCGCCTCATCTCCGGGGACACGGTGCCGTTGGATTTGCGGGATCTACGCAAGCATACGCAGTACTATGGAGGCTTTCACGATTCCCATCGTGTGGTGGGCTGGCTCTGGGACATCCTGGCCAAGGATTTCACGGAGGAGGAGCGCAAGCTGTTTTTAAAGGTATGTATTGGGGGAGTCTTATACCGTTTCAGGGTAGTAATTCTGCTCTATTTCCAGTTTGTAACGAGCTGCTCGAAGCCTCCGTTGCTGGGCTTCGCCCACCTGGAGCCGCCCTTCTCCATACGCTGCGTGGAGGTGGGCGATGACGAGGACACCGGGGATACCATTGGTAGCGTGATCCGTGGTTTCTTTACCATACGGAAAAAGGATCCCCTGAACCGCTTGCCCACCTCCTCGACGTGCTTTAACCTGCTGAAGCTGCCCAACTACCAAAAGAAGTCCACGCTGCGGGACAAGCTGCGCTATGCGGTGAGCAGCAACACCGGGTTCGAGCTTTCCTAAGGGTTTCCCGCTGAACTATTTGCAAATCTATTCACATTTTCCATGTTATTCCCCCCTAAGCAACTCCTTTTCGTAGGCAATTTGGTGTGAATGTGTTTGTTTATTGACTTTTTAAATGTTTTCAAACGAAGAGAAACATATTCAACGGTAAACACACAATTATTAACAAGTAAATATAAACGTATAGCTGTGATAAAACTATAATAAACTAAAACGAAGAGTACACAATGCGAAACCAAGCTGAATTACTCCACAAAGCCACATTTGTGCTGAACAAACAATGATAAATAATATAAAAAAATAAAATAAATGAGAGAAGATACACAACTAATATCTAACCCACGTAATGGTGCAAGCCAAAAGTTACATTGTAAACCACGAACAACATAAAAACAAGCAACAATAAATCTATGTGTCTGATTCATGTGCAAAATGTAAGCCTGCTTCTGCTTCTTTGCTTATCAGATCTGTCCTGCGTTCGGTAAGCGCGTTCCCAAAGATAACAAACATGCAATTAGCGAGAGAACGGGGCAGCTCGGATTTCCCCGGGTTTTTCCGCCCCGAAAACTGAATGAACAGCGCTAATGACACAAATCCGTCTGGACGCAAGGAAAACTCCTATCCTCTCTCTCCGCTAATTGCCTGAGTCACACTCAGGCCTGGGTCTGGGTCTAGGTCAGTCAGGGGCACTTAGAGAGCGACCGGAATAAGCGGAAATATGGAAGCAAGGAGTTTTATGCAAAGCTAGTCGAATTACGAATTACCGGAAATTGCATATCTGCAGGCACTGCGTAATGACCGGAGACGGGTACTGGAACCTGGTTGGGTAATGGAAATGCGAGCAGTAGCCTTAACCACAAGCACAAGTGCTATCAAGGATCCGATCCATTGACAGCAAACGGAGGAATCATTTTCTATGATTCACTTTGAATTGACATCTTAACCTTTTAAAGATCATTTTCATGTCACATGTTTCTTATCTTCGGAGTTCAGAGAAATTATGGGAATTCGTTGGAAATTAATAGAGATTTCAGCTATTTTCTACTTTCCTTTAAGAAATGAAATCATTGCTAGTAAATATATAAAGGTTTCAAATTTAATTAGTTTGAAATGATTTTGATTTAAAATGAATTTCTAATTTAAACAAGAAAGAAAGCTAACTTTGGCCAGCCAAAGTTTGTATACCCTTGCAGGTAACAATTAAAATATACATATCATAACTAAGCCAAAAATGCATTAATTTCGATTCGGAAAGCAGTTTTGTGTTAGTTTTTATTAATTTAAAAAAACTGCATACCAAATTTAAAATTTTAAGAAATCAAAATTTTTGGCCATTTTTGCTAATTTTAATGATGTAACCCCTTATAAAATTTTGCAAAAATAGCCAAAAAATCGATTTCTTCCGGACACGTCTAGAAAGATTCGCATGTTAATGCTGATCAAGAATATATACGGTTTATGGGGTCGGAAATGATTCCTTGACATAGAAAAATATTATTTTGTATTATAAAATCTGATTTTTTATATTAAAAAACTTCTTGATTTTTTTAAAATTAAAAATATCATAACTCGGCCAAAAGAGCATTAATTTTAAATCGGAAAACTGTTCTGTGCAAGATTTTCTACAGTTAATAAATCTGCATACTTCATTTAAAAATTTTGAAAATTCAATTTTTTATCAAAATCAAAAATTTTAATGATGTAACCCCTTATAAAATTTTGCAAAAATGGCCAAAAAATCGATTTCTTCCTGACATATTTAGAAAGATTCCCCTGTTGATGCTGATCAAGAATATATATACTTTATAGGGTCGGAAACGTCTCCTTCACTGCGTTGCAAACTTCTGACTGAAATTATAATACCCTGCAAGGGTATGATCACTTAAAAAAAAAAAATCTTCCCCTGTTTTGGATTCTGCACAAAGCTGACCGTAATTTGAGATTTTTATCCTGGTCATCGATCCTTAGGACTCTTTAAGGTTTCCGTTCCGGTTCCCCTGCCCCTGCCCCTGCCCCATTTACCATACCCCCAACCGATGTCCTTTTGCGGTTTCTGTCGGCCCGCTTTTGTCGCCAAGAAGCTGTAAACGGCGAGACACAATAGCAAACAAATTGTAGAACAGCAGAGGACCCACAAAAACAGGCAATAATCATAACAATAATTTCCGAATTTCAAAAACTGCAGCGACACACGAACAGTCGGCGGTCGTCGCACCAGGTCATAAAACCCACATCGACATCTCCTGCCGCCGCCGCTGCCGCTTTTGTTCCTCTCAGATCTCTCAGATGAGAACGCGTCTCGGGGACAAAGTGTGATCATTTTTATGACTCGCCTGTTTGATGTCGCCCAAGAAACCGAGAAGACAGGACAAGTGGCAACAAGTGACTGTGATCCGTTAGACGGATCCTGCCTAGCCTTCCCATCCCACTTCACTGCCACTCCTCCTCCGCCACTGCCAGTGCATCTTGAGCCTCTCTTCGCCGCTCAAGTGGCCCGCAGGCGACAGTCGCTTGGCGCCAGTTGAATTTGATGGTGCAATTTGTTGTGGCCCAGTCGAGTACGAGTACCGTTTAAAGGTTTTGATTAGCCCCGCCGACTTATCGCCGGGGCGGATCTCTTTCTAGAGATCTCCCTCTCCGCCGCTTCAAACGGTAGCCGCGAGATTTCGATGCTGGCCTCGAGAACATCATGTACAAGATGCCGGCCGATAGCTGGATAAGCTACCGAACAGATGGAGACTGATCATTACGGCAAGATATGACTGGATGTACTATACTACATATATCGAGCGGATATCAAAGGTTTGACACTCAAGTGGACTCTCTTTAAAATATTAATGATTCAGAAAAGGTTGAAATACATTGGAACTGGGACATTGGATTTAGGTTTTTGAATTGTGGGAAAATTATTTAAGGGTTATTCAACATCTTTCAAGGTATATAGGCTTTATAAAGAGAAGATTTATAATTTATACAGCATGCATTAAGATATACATGAATTTTTATTTTTTAAACAGGTTTCTACATAAATTTCGAGCCTTGATTTAAATTAATAAATCAAAAAGCAACTTAATCTTAGCTTGTCATAGATAAGCAGCGGGGTTTTTTGTATATGAGTATTTATATATTGTTACATTTAAAGTAAAAAAACGGATGTACATTAAATAAATGTTAGCTTTTGTCTAGGACTATATTTGGTGCATTTGCTCTAATTCAAGATTATTAACTAAAATTAAAGAATTCGAAAACAGAAGAATTATTTCAATGAAATAATTCTAAAATTAATGGGATTTTCGCTTTTACCACGAAAGTTTTTAATAAAACTTACCTACAGATTTGACTTAATTATTTTTGGGGTCTTAGTACAAAATTCAGTTTAATTATTAAAAGCTTTCTATTTATTTCATATTCATTTAATTTCTCATCGTTAAAACATGAAAATTGTTGTACGAACAACATAATCTACATTTTTTAGTTCCTATTAAGCTATTATCAATTAAAACCTACAAAACGTACTTGAGTTCGCAACGATTAAAAAGTTCAAACGATTTAGCGCCTAGGTTCATACTAATACTACTATTAATAGGTACATCACATTATTTCTAATCTTTAATACTAATTTTTCAAAGCACTCTTCAAGCTTTGAGAAAAAAGCGCTCGATCTTGTCTGAGAATAATTTATAATTCCAATCAAAATACAAAAATTTACCACTGCTTCCACATTTTTAGGGGCTCTTAATCTTAATGAACATTACTAGTTGGCCCATATCCAAAACGTTTTCCTATTCCATAAATATTACCAGCGATTAGCCGACTTCAAAGAGCGTCTCCCCAAAATTCTACCGGAGAAGAAACCCCATCCAAGCCCATTCCCATTCCCATTAAGCGCTATCAGCAGCAGCAAGATGGGTGCCGTGCCCCCATAGCTCCAGGGGGAGGAGGTCACTGAATCTCAGAGTCCCCCGCTCCCAAGAGAGCCATCTGAAAATGGCGTTTCCCATGACCAAGTAAGCGAGAGCGAGACAACGTACCGCTCGCTGATAAGCGACCAATGGCAGGGGAAGAGCGAGAGCTACCCAAGGCAGAGTGCGACCAAAAGAGAAACCACTGACTGCCACTTGAGCGGGAGAACAGGTCGAGCAACTACCTGAGGATCGGTGCGTGCGGGAGGGAAACGAAACCCATCCGACCGGATTCGGGCTGAATCGAGGTAGTGCCCGCTCCGAGGCACAGAGAGACAGTCTCAAGTCGAACAGCGAAGCGATCAGTTCGTTGACGTCGTCGTATTTCAATCGATTTCCCACGGTTCGTCTTAAAAAATAAAAAATAAAAGTTAAGATCTAGTAAGAAGCTAGTGAAGAAGTAACCAGAATGTTGACCTTGCCCAACATTGCCGATCTGCGTTTGCAGCAGCAGATCGCCCATGAAATATACCGCCAGCAGATTATGCAACGTTTACCGGGTAAGTTTGGAGCAGACTCCATATCCGTTTTGCCGACGGCTAATTGATTTCTCTTGTTGTATCTTGAAGATCCCCTTTGCGGACTATTGCCCAACTTTGGACATTTTGTGGCTCCACCGCCACCGCCGCCGCCACAGCCCTCGCTGCCCGGCGATGTCGAGGCCAAGCTGGAAAACAACGAACTGTGGCGACAGTTCCACAGCATAGGCACCGAGATGATCATCACCAAGAGTGGCAGGTTGGTACCTATCTGTTTGACTTATCTCCCGCTGATAAGCCGCCTCCTCCCCTTCCGGGGGTTTATTATCAGTCTTACGGTTGAAACGTGTCACTAACAGCCATCCATCCTCTGTGATCTCTGCTCTTTCCCCCTTTAGACGCATGTTCCCCTCGATGCGTGTCTCTCTCAGCGGTCTGGAGGAGGAGGCCAGCTATTGCGTGCTCCTCGAGATGGTGCCCATCGGTGACTGCCGCTACAAGTTCTCTGGTTCGCAGTGGGTTCCGGCCGGTGGAGCAGAGCCCCAGAGTCCACAACGGATGTATTTGCATCCGGAGAGTCCAGCCACGGGCAAGCACTGGCAGTCCCAGGCGCTCCTTTTTAGCAAGGTGAAGCTGACGAACAACACGCTGGACAATAATGGTCATGTAAGTATTTAAATTATTTAAAATCTATAGCGATTTCTGTGAAAAACTCCAGCATACATCACTTTTTTTTTCAACCCGCAAAAGATAAATTACCCTGATACCCTTTCTGTTTTTCTGGGTTAAAATGTCAGCAACGGAACAAGGCTACATATTATTTATACAAGTGATATGTGAGATGTCTACCCAAAAAGATAAATGCACAGAAAAAATCTTTCTGTTGTTTTGGGTTAAGACATCATACTCCACATTTTATTCACACAAGTGATATATGGAAATATGAAATGGAAATATAAATAGAAATAAAATATTATTCTAAACATGGAAACCCTTAACTTATCGCCCATATCCTCCTCTTCCTTTTCAGATCGTCCTGGCCAGCATGCACAAGTATCAGCCACGGCTGCATGTCATACGCACCTCCGACCTGGGCCAGATCCCCTGGGCCCCCCAGCAGGCCTTTGTGTTCCCGGAGACGGAGTTTATCGCCGTTACGGCTTATCAGGTGTGTACCAATCCCACATCTTCGCCATCCATAAAGAGCGCTGTGATAACCAACTAATCCCCTGTCTTTGCCTTTGCAGAATGACCGCATAACCAAGCTGAAGATCGACAACAATCCCTTTGCCAAGGGGTTCCGTGAGTCGGGTCAGTCGCGTTGCAAGCGAAAGATCAGTGACTCCCCTCCTCCAGCCTGCCCGCCAGAGGAGGAGCCCCAGGAATCGCCGTTAGCCAAGCGGTTAAGACTCGTAGAGGAGTTGCCGCCGCAGCATCATCTGCAGAATCAGAACCTTGTGCAGCATCGCTATCTGCTGGATACCCTGGAGGCCAATTTCTATGTGCCAGCGCCACCACTACCGCCACAGCCGCCGCAGCAGCAGCAGAAGTCCGCCTTTGACTATGCCAGGCACATTGCCGGCTATCCAAGTTGGGCCTACACACCGCCATCGCCGGCCTCCTCGGTCTCCTCGTCATCGGCGGGCTCTACAAGCGGCGAGTCCGCTGCCGATGCCGACACCTTTGTGGATGTGGTGAGCACAACGGCTGCTCCCAGCGAAGCTGCGGTGCCGCCTGCCAAGCCCAAACGGAGCAGCTTCAGCATCTCGGACATATTGGGAACCAGCGTGTCCATTTAGCGCGAGCGATGTGCTCCCATTTGGAGATCGGCATCGCTGCCTTGTACATTTAATTAGCGTTTAGTTGCCATAGTGTAGTGTCTAAGCTGAATTGTGATATTTTGCAGTTAATTAGGATTTCCAGGTATTTCTCTGCCATCAGTATTTATCGTATTTATTATGCAATTTTAATTGTTCGCATGATTTCGTAATGGATTTATTGTCTTTGGCATTTCATAAATGCGCGGCATAAATAAAATATATATGTTCAAATGCATTCACTCGTGGAATTTGCTTTGGAATGGGCCCAGACAGAGAGATTCCCCCGATCTGTGCTGCTTCCCACACTGGCCGACTGCCTGCCTGCCCATTGAATCCTGTTCCAGCAATTTGTGCGTTGCATGCTTCCATTTGCCTGCCTGTCGTCGTCGCCGAATACATAATTCGGACTTGGAGTCGGTTTCGGTTTCGATTTCATATCTCTGCGCATGCGAGGCATATGAAAAACCAGTTCCTGTGTCCAAATCCCCAGCCTCCTCTTGAGAGCTGAAGAACCCACCCGGCAACCGGCAACCGGCAGGCAACAACATGGACATGGGCTTATCAGCAGATCAGAGCGAGCCGCATCTTAAACGCTGGCGCCGGCGCCAAGTTAAATGCGCTGATTGAGCGCCACGATCCTGGCCAGCCAGGTTCCAGGTTCCAGGTCCCCAAATCCCCATCCACATGTAATTGATGTTTTCACATTGTAGTTGTTAGCGAAACTGTGGCCATTTACATGCAATTGTCCGGCTGTCCCATCACACATCTCCCCACCCCATGCCAGGCGGAAACGTGGCGGCGCTCCTTTGATGCTGCGCCTCAGCCAGTGGCAAGTGTTTGCCCCCAAAGAGAGGCCGGCTAGATGATTGGCCAACTTCGACGGTGGCATTTCGCTTCAGTTCGCGTTAAGAAACAATTGTCAAGAGCCCCAAGAGGATGGAGTCCAATCGGACCCCAATCCCCGAGTACCCACACACGTAGCTGCAACCTGTTTTTCGGCCCATTCATGTTGCCGCTGGAAGTGTTTATGGGCTCCACATTAGCCACACTGCATATTCATGTTAAACGTCGCCAAAAGACTAACGACAACGTTTGGTCCATTGTGTTGTTGCCGTTCGCCAGAAAATTTATTGAATTCTCATTTGGGGGGCCAGCAGCATCCGCCGCGAAAGAGAGCGTCGAGTCCCTACTTGGAGGAGCCTCCGCCAGAGGCCCAGACCCAGAGCAAACGTTCGCATGTCAGCGGCAAATGAGCTCCGCGACCCAAGCTCACTCGGCGAGATCTGCCAGCTGAGATAAGCTCCAGGTTCCCCTCGGCGGGCATGTGTAATTTCCTTGGAAATTAATGTTGCGGCGGCCGAAATCAAAGTCACGGGCAACATATTTCGCTGGCGACAATTTTATCGGCAGCACAATGAAATCATTTGGAGCCCCCAGCGACGACGCTGGCGATATTATGTCTTTCCCGAACTTTGACAGCTCCAAATACTTGCATACATTTGCTTGGCGCTCGTTCTAAATGCTAGGAGGAGGCTCTTAAGTCCTTTATTTCAAGTCCAGCTTATAAAGTTAATAGATATTCCATCGGTGGTATAGAGGTAATAGAAGTAGCTACTAGTCCGAGAAACGATTACAAACGATCTAGAAGACCCTGTCGCCGGTGCGTACGTGCTGGCGACGAGCCCAGTGGTTTGGATTCTTAAACTCCACCAAACGGGTCAAATCAAAGCCAGCGGGCACTATTACAGGCTTTTTGGCTCCGTCCAGCAATGAAGTTTCCTTTGGTGGTCCTGCCGGAACTGGCATATTCTCGAAGGGCGACACATACTCCTCAGCGGGCTTAACACTTGCGACAGGAGTCTTCTTAATGGTCTGGAATAGGAATAACGACTTGTTTAAAGGGATGCCTCTTCTGGAGCGAAAGTCTTACTTTAGCTGGTTTCATCACAGGCTGGACAACAGGATCGTCGTGCTCTTTAGGAGTCGTCATTTCGTCCAAATCTTGGGTGAAGTAGGCATCCAGGGCCGTCGAAAACTCGCGCAGAGGCGAGCGCTTGAGATCATTGCACTTCTGTTGCGAACCAACCCAGATCTCGGTGAAGGCGTGCTTATGCTTGGCCTCAGACCTTGGATCAGACTCCAGGTAATCTTTCAGACGCAGTTGCGGCGGTTCCATGTCGAAGAGCTCCTCGTTGGGCACCTTCTTCGAGGCGAGTTTCGGCACCTTCCTGAGGCACATGGGCAAGGGCTCCTCGATGTCGTTTAGCGGCGAGACCACAAACTTCTTGAGCGTCTTGAAGCGCTCCGTCTGCGGCTGAGCACCGCCGTTGGTGGACACACCATCACAAGCAGACGAATCGCTAGAACACTCGCTCTTTTGATCACCAGATTTTGGGTCCGGTTTGCCAAACAAGGCCTTTGGAGGCGTCTCCTTTGTGGTCTGCGGCTGCTGCTCTATCTGCGGCGGGACTATCCTAGTAATGCGTGGTGCTAAGGGGTACCTACACTTACCGAAAGCCCATCCTCCAGTGAACCCGAAGTCTCATGCTCCGACATCCCCGCGGCGCTGTCGCAATCGCTGCCAAGCGACGATTTCCAGGATGCGCTCAGAGCTCGCTGATTGGAGATCTCGCTGTCGTTGAACGAGTGAAAGGAGTCACTGTCCTCGTTATCGGAAACATCACCCCCAGGAGAAAAGCTCATCTTGATTTATTTTCCACTTATTTGCGGTCAGCTGAAAATTATTTTGTTAATGGCGCAAAAGTCAAAGTGACAACCGAAGGGGATGTCAACTCGACCGAAATTCCTTTTTTTTTTTTATCGTTTTAAGCTGCGTTCTAATGTTTCCACTTCCACAGTGTTTGGTTTTAATGCAAACTTAAGAAATATATATTTTTTTAAATTATCAAGAATATTTTGCAGTTTTAATTGTTCCTGTTATGCTTTGTTTATGTATTAAAAATATATTTTTACAATGAAAAGAATTTTTTTTTTTTAATTTTATTAACTAAATTTACCATTTTAAGCTCGGGAAAGTTAATTATAATTTTTTTATTATTACGAAATTTACTTGTGTGCCTTTTAATATCGATAGATAAATGCAGCTCCTACCAGTGTAAGCACTCAATTAAGTGCTTGCGTTTAAAATGCGCTTCAACTAGTGTAATCACTTAATTAGTGCGTGCTTTGCGATTAGATTGGCAGCACTGCCGAAGCTCCGTTATTAAATGGCGCGCAGTTATTCCGCATTTGATTTTGCGGTTTGTCTCCGGAGACAACACAAGTATGCAAATAGTTAGCCAGAGACAATGCTGCTGCATTTTGCACTCAATAGACTTGTAAACAAAGCACAGACAATGCCAGGAGGTCCTCTGCAAAGGATGCGTACTTGACGACGGCCATTGTGCTCCGGTTTTAATTGTTCCCCTTTCGAGTACTTTCCAAACTGATCCCTAGATTTGCCTATATGATCATCATATATGCATGTAGGGATGCACCTTCCCATGGTACCATTGTAGCACTGTAGTGGACCTGCTTATGTGGGTGATTTTCATTATCCTCTAATTGTTTGTGCCATTGTTCACGCGATAGGTTTGAGAAATTACACGCTTTGTTAATTGTGCCAGCCCAAAAAGGGACGCCGCGCCGCTCCTCACATGACCACCACTGCCTAGCCCTAGCCCTAGTCCTCATGTGAGCCCATTTGCATAAACTGCTTTTACGGCCCTTTGTTGGCCGCCTCGGCCCTGGTGGTGGGTTTGTGTTCTGCTCTAGTTTAAAACCCCAGCTTAGCCGCAAACACTTGAGCTGGGCAGGGCAGGAATGGCCGATGCAGGTCGATACTGGGCCGGTGCATCCGCTTTTATGGCTTGGCCCCGGCGACACGGAAACCTTTCTTTGCCACGCTTTGTTGCATTCTCCTCGCGACCAATATATTTGCATTGGCCAACAATAAAAACTCAAGTACCGGGCCATTGTTGCCATCTTGTTTGGCTAACGCCGGGCGCAGCCTGAACAGAGCCGAAGCTCGGGAATGGGCTCAGACGGAGGGAAGGATGCCTGGGATTTGTAATCTTCCCGGTCTCCTAAATCCCTTAAATGAACTCTCTCAGGGAAAAGTATAAGATCGCCTAGTTTTATACAGTTTAAAGTTGTTTTTTTTTATATTTTTTAATAATTATTTCCATTTTCATTTACCATAGACAAGATATATATTTTCTTAATATAACTTTACCATATTATCTAACTTATATATTTATAGCAACACAATCCCGAGATCCCCTCCCGAATCAAGTCTCAAAGTGGCAGCCACGCGTGCGCTGCCTAAAATGCTTTTCCCACTCATTAACGCCGCCAGTTGCAGCACTACCCAACCCCCCGCTTCTAATAACTAATTAACTTTCGTTTAGGAAGCAATTTTCCCCTTTTAATTTTTTTTTTTGGTTCCCCAAAATTCGTGTTTACACAACAGAAATGCTGCTCGACAAAGTGTATCTAATTTCATAAAATAACAACAGAAAAAAGAGGCAACTTGCAGCGGCAACAAATGTGGCAGCGTAAAAAGCAACAGCCATAGTGCATTAATTATCCGGAGAGACCTGCGACATCTGCCGCGGATGGAAGAGGGGTCGGGGACTGACTTGACTCTATGGAGGAGGATCCGAGGAGTATGGACATTTAATGAGGCATTCATTGCACTCACAACCTTGCGCTGTCAACACACGCACTCGCACACACACGGCCGACATCTGTCACCCGTTCTAGACCCGGAATGGTATGGTCTATGGTATGGGATAGCAGTCTCAATCCCCTATAAAACCGCAGGCCTTCGGATCGGAACCGATCCCCAGAGGCACCCAGAGACAGCCAAACAAACGGCAACTATTTCAAATCGATTTGGTGCACTGATAAAATCAACTACAGATTGGTTGATTGATTTTTTGTTTTAAAATTTAGTGTTTCTAAAACTTCTTTTTAAAGATTGGGATAAGCTAATATTATACTTTATTTATTCAATAATATTGTTCTTTAAAAGTCTAATAAAAATGTATTAAAATGTATTATGTAATAATGATTACTGTGTATTAGTTTCCTTAGCCTTAATTTCTTAAAGTCTCAAGAATATTTAAGAATTTTAATTTCTCAAAAGTCTCCTAATTTATTTGTTAAATATTTTTCAAAACCAAATTTCCAGCTTAAAGTAACCTTCTTGAGTAACTTACCAATTTCCACCAATTTATATAGATTTTCCAGAGCTACTTTCGTTACAGTGTGGTAAATTGATTCGAGCGTGTTTGTTTTTCCGATTGCTGGGCGGGCAGCGGCGTCTGCACCGCCCCTGGACAGCCAGCCCCTGCAGCCATGTAGCCAGCCATCAGGGGCCATCAAGGGCCGACGGGAACGAGACGTGGGTGGTGACGCATGTCATCGTAAACTTCATCATTGGCTCCGTTCCTTCGGCCAATTTCTGGCAGCTCTTCGGCGACTTACATAACGAATCGTCTATTTTCTTTGGCTTCGTCTCAGTCTCTGCCCATTTCATAAATATGAGAGGGTTCCAGTTGCAGTAGGAGAGCCGGATCGGTCTCTGGGGTAGCATCCGAGATCGGAGATGCGAGGGCTGCAACCGAATTTCATGCCTTGTCGAGCTATTTAATTGCAAACAAATTATGTTCTAGCCAGTCGCATTTCTGTGTGGCTAATGGATGCGGATGCTGATGCCATGCCGATGCTAGAGCTGTTGCTGTTGCCCTCTGATGATGTTGTCGAAACCCGAACGTTTATCTTGTAAATTGGTTGGGATTAATGTCTGGCGGAAGTTGTGATTTCCAGCCCCCAGATCGGCCAATGATAGAGGCTGGCTTGGTGTTCTCTTCCTTTTCTCCTCTCTGAGATGTTCATTTACCTACAGCATCGGGTGGGCGTTTAGGCTTTGAAGGCCGATCGCAGCAGGATAATATATATGGTATACATATATCTTTGTAAAAATCCCAGATCTGTAGGGATTCTCAGTGAACTAAAACCAATTGATTCTCTTATGTTAGTGTAACTTTAATGGCTTAACATTTAGTTTGGCTTAGTAACTAATCAGGCTAAGATTTTTATACTATAATATCAAGATGAGTACAGCGAACTAAAGAAAAACATTATCTTAAATCATGAATAATGTATTTGGAACAAGAACAAATGGGATAATTTAAAATGTTGAAATGTTCTATTGAAAGTTGTTGTATATTTTAAACGTTCTTTCTTTAATATTTCCACTTAATTTCCCTTTTGATTACCAAAAACCTTTTCATGATTCCATTGTAAAGTTTATCCCAATTTTCCTTAAATTAAAATCTCCTTGATTGTTCTTCTAACTTCCTCCTCCTAGGATGGCCGATATGCTGAAGCCCTTGCTCCTGGTAGACGGTTCACCAGGTGGTTGTTCTTGCGTGGATTGCTCCACTGTCGTCGTCGTTGTGGTCGTTTCACTGCCCACATCCAGTTCAAGGTCATCGGCACCAGATTCATCCGAGTTGGGATCCAAGCCAGAAAGACCAGGCGGCAGGTTCAGGCCAGGATGTGGTCCCAAAATGGAGGCAGGGGGATACAGAGAGGTTGCGGGGAGACCTGCTCCTCCACTTGGTCCGTATTCCTGGGTGGGTCGTCCGAAGTAGGTGCAGGCCAGGTCCACCAGCGAGGGTCTCAGAAGACTTTGCATATTCTGCTGAAAGTGCTGCATGAAAACGCTGGAGGCACTGCGCGCCTGGAGGGGATGGTGGGGCTGAAGATGTAGCTGGGGCGGCTGAGGCGGCAGTGGCGGGGAGCCCAGGCCCAAGGAGCTGGCGCCAGGCGCCGACTGATCGTCCAGCGATGAAGATAAGGAGCAGGCGGAGCCATTTGATCTCAGTCGCTTAATTTGCTGGCCATCGGGATTTGGATTTGGGTTCGGAATCGGGTTCGCTGCCTCACTGCCCTTCGCCGGCGACATGTCAGACTCGGATTGGGAGTGCGACAGCGACTGATCTTGATCCTCGCCGGTTGGCGATGAAGACATCTTGCGCTTGCAGCGCGACTGTCCCGTTTCGCGGAAGCCCTTGGCAAACGGATTGTTGTCGATCTTCAGCTTGGTGATGCGATCGTTCTGCGGAAGAGAGGACAAGACATGGAGAATGACGATGAAATACGACTATGATGATGGACAGCACAATCTTGGGTAACTACAGGGAGAGAAATACCTTAACCTTATAGAAATATACCCTGTTTATTCAAATTAAAATAGAATTTAAATTAAAAAGTAATACACATAAAATTCCTACGTTGATTTTTTAGTAGACGGATATATCTTAATTAAGTTGCGCTTTATTTTTCTCTGTGTATGGGTGTCCAGTAGCCGGCGTGTTAAGTAACATGGCCACTTGACACCGCCTTTGGGCTGAAGCTGACGCTGCTGCTGCAGTTCCAGTTCCCCCTGGCCACTCGAGATGACTTGACAACTCTCTGTGATCTTTGGCTGGCGCATCTCGGACGATCTCGAGGCGATCTTGCTAATTAGAGGCAGACTGGCGTCGGCTGTATGTCAATGGGCCCAGACCTAGACAAAAACACAGCGAGGCGCTCAAATTTACAAGGATGTGGCTATCCAACTTCCTAAAACAACAATCCGACCCGCTGACTTTCTGCCTGCCCAGCCTCATCCTCATCTCATTTCGGTTCCCACTCCACTCCCCTAAGGAGCAGATCCCGAAGGCGTTCCATGCTAATTCCAGCCGCTGACCAAGCAACCCACGGCGTGAGCGATCGCCCGCTCGTTTGCCCAAAATTAACCAATTAGTGTGATCGGTCCCAGTCGAGACCCTGGACTCAGTCACTGCTCAATGAATTGGAAAAAAAAAAAAAAAAGTGTTAAGTGCAAGGGAGATCAGGGCTAGCTACGAGGACACCAGCTACGAATACCCTTGGCAAGCTAATTTTGAGAGAGATACCATTAATCTGTAGTTAATTTTATGAAGTTTTCTATTTATTATAATCACCCATTCACCTATGCTACTCTACAACTTAAACATTATATGTAGCTTGATTCACAGGATATTCCATTCAAATCTTAATTAAATATAATAAAGTCTCGCCTAAACTCTACTATTTATTTCCCAAATATTAAAAAGCCCCTCAGAAAGTGTATATAAAATCCCAAGGGAGATAGCGCCACTTACCTGGTAAGCTGTCACAGCCACGAACTCGGTCTCGGCGAACACAAAGGCCTGCTGTGGGGCCCAGGGAATCTGCGCCAGGTCGGCGGTGCGTATGACATGGAGTCGCGGCTGGTACTTGTGCATGCTGGCCAGGACGATCTGTGGATATGGGTATGGGGATCAGTAACCGGAGACCGCTTCAAAGCTTTGTCCGCACTTACATGTCCGCTGTTGTCGAGCGTGTTATTGGTCAGCTTCACCTTGTTGAAGAGTATGGGCTGCGCCTGCCAATGAGATCCAGTGGCAGGGCTATCCGGATGCAGATACATCCGCTGCGGACTCTGGGGCTCAGCACCTCCAGCCGGAACCCACTGCGAGCCGGAGAACTTGTAGCGACAGTCACCTATAGGCACCATCTCGAGGAGCACGCAGTAATTGGTCTCGTCCTCCAGGCCGGAAACACTGAGGCGCATCGAGGGGAACATGCGTCTGGGGAGGAAATAATTAGGAGAATTTTAATATAATTTAATTTTTAATTATATTAAATATTTATCACTTTATTAAGTAAAAATTTTCGAGAGCTTAAGGAAAAAAGAACTAGTCTAAAGCTTAGTAGAATCCTTCTGTATTTGCTTACTTAAAAAACCTTTTGGCTTTAGTTTTGTTTAAGCTAAGAACCCTAAGAGCTGATTCTTTCATACAAACACTAAAAATCTAGTCAAATTCTTAATTTTACCGAATTTTTCCTACTGTCTTAATGCAACTTAAGCCCATCAAAGCCAAATTAAGGTGTGACACCAAGGGGTGCGTTAGATTTCCAATTAAGAAGTTCCGGTCCCATTTGACTGAATAATTTGTATTCCACCCATTTATATTTGATAAGAAATATGTATATCTTTCAATTAAAAACAAAAAAATAAACGCCCACAAATAAAATACACTTTGCTGCAAACAAATAGCGGGCATTCTTGGGATTTAAACAAACACCAAATGGCTGTGTTATTTTCTTCGAGTGTGCGCTGACGGGGATGGGGAGAAAAATCCAAGAAAACTCCAGGAAAAATCTATGAAATTTGTAGAGCCTTTGTTTACCGAACAAACTCAAATATAGTCATGCTAGATCGACAAAAGGAGCCCACGTTCACGTCCACATCCACGTCCGCGTGGGCGTTACAAATATTTAATTGTGAGATTTCCCTTCCATGCGCCATGTAATTAGCCCCGACCAAATAGAGATTGCCTGGACGCGAAGGAGGAAGATCTCAGCTAGGAGGGACGGGGCCGGCGCTCCTCCTTGGTTTGCCCTGTGCTAACAAGGATGCAACAAGGATGGAACAACAGGCAGAGTGAGCCGTGGAGTGACCCTCTCGGATCGCGCAGCCGCAGACGCAGCAGGTGGTCACCGATCTTGGCGCCAGGCCGAGACCGAAAAATATGTTTGCCCTTCGCCTTCGAACCCGAGACCGAATCTGAATCCAAGTCAGCCTCCTCCGCTCCGATCCTCGAGTGGCTGGCTTGTTTTTGGCAATGATTCCGTGTTTCTTCGGGCTCCGATGATTAATTAATTGAACTCCGCTGCGCTTTGGTTTGCTCGCCAGCTTGCCTACGTTTAATTTGATTCTGCCTTTCTGTTTCTTTGTTGAATTCCATTAGAGCGACGGGCACCGAAATATTTCGACATTTGTGCGGTTTAGAATTTCATTTTCAATTTGGTTCTTCTTTGTCTTTTTTTTTGGCAAACAGTTTGCTGTCTGGTTTTCGGACAAACGATTTGTTAAGATCGATATCTTTGGCGCGTCTGCGCATAATTAACGGCGGGAATGCTGGCTGCCAGCGAGGAGCACGCTGGAGATTTGACGGCATCCCACTTGGCGCTTGGCAGGTGCAGGGAACACGATCCAGGAATGCGTCAGGCAGTCCTTGGAAGGTTCTTTAGGCTGATCTAGAAATGTTCGACTTTTTTCAGTAGTCTTTGTACTATAATTATGAATAAACTGGTTGATTTTGAACTCTAGGGTTGGCATTAAGATTTATCTAATAGAAATTCTAATAATATATTCATAGATAGCTTGAAAAAGCTGCGGAAATTGAATTTCCTTAAAAGGTGACTTAAGAAAGTCAACAAATTCGAGGAATATACAGCAAAGCTGTTTTTTTTAAATCATTTTTGATTGGAGTTGGTGTCAAACTTTGCTCTAAATTTCCCATATTTAACCAATAACCACAGTATAAATTTTTTAGTGCTTAAAGTTAAAATATATAAAAAATATATCTCAATTTTTTAATAAAATAAAAAACCCTAATGTTATCACTGTTTTCTAGAGTATTTTTCAAATACTTCCCTCCTATCTGAGCGCCTTCCGTCAGGGGTTAGCTTGTCGCTTCTGTTTACCGCCTTTCTTGGCGCTTCCCATTTAGCCAACGCGGGTTATGGCCTTATGGTTATGGCTGCGGCTGTGCCCACACACACTTAAGAGCTTCGTGACAAAGTCATTTCATTTCCCGCTGTCAGAGCATTAAGGGATACGCTTTGTTCTATCTAAGTTTAATGGCCGTCTGCGCTTTTACCACCCAAACAGATCGAAAGGTTCAAGTGGCCCAGACAACCAACTAATTAGTTTTTATGGTAGAGTTATAGTATGGATCCAAGCCGATTCGAACCGATCCGTTTGGAGTGGAAAATGCAGTGGAAATTGGGACTGAGACGGTGGCACTCTGGCGCCTAATCATTAAAAATTCAAATCGATTGCAACTGGCGACTGGCAGGCACTCACATAAAACATTTTTTGATGGGCATAAAAAGTATTTAATACGCAGACTTTATGAATAATTCATTTTATATATATGTATATATATTGCTATAAAAAACAAAAGGGTTCACCAGGGAGAGTCCAAAACTTTATGCTAATGCCTTGGGAACGCAGCAGAACCCTTGCTCGGAGATCGAACTGTCGCCGTTATCGGCAAGTGTGAAATTGCTCGTATCTGTCGACAAGCTGTGGTCACTCACCAGCAGTTACAGATACAGATACAGATACACCCGAAGAATGCAGAAGATATTTCGGTGTTTCTCGGTTCGTCTGCTGCAGACAGGCGCCACAATAAAAACGCTAAGAACTACAGATATGACGACAAAGTATCCTTGACGCTAAGATTTATGCCATAACTGGACGGACTTCGGTCTGTGTCCGAGTCCAAAAGGAGCGCCGCCGCGCGCCGACCAAAAAGGACGTCCCACTGCGTTCGGCCTGCAATAAATTACGATGACGCCACTTTACGCACATTCGAACAAGTGCCGGACACTTTTAGGTAGGTTTTTGGTCCGAGATCGAGATGCTCTATCCCCGATCCTCGATAAACTAGCCCCGGGGCGATTGCGCTATGCCTTTGATTCGAGTGCGCATCTCGTTTCTATGGCAAATTCCAGTATCAGTATCAAGTATATCCAATCTGCAGATGGGCACGCAAAGTGCCGGCCAACTTGTCCGCTTTACGCCTCGCGCGATAGGCCCAAAAAAAGTGCATTACTCCTATGTACCTGCTGGCGGCTTTTCACATCCTGTCAGCCAGCGCATCCTTCCGCCGTGTTTGCCTGTGAAAATCGTTGTCGCGACGCCGCTGTAAACAATTTGCAGGCGCCTGCATCTAATGAGCATTTAACAGCAGCAGCCACGGAGCTAGATCCTAGCCAGGATCGGTTTCAGTGCCAGATCGGGTGCTTTAAGTGCCCTCCGCCGCCTCGATCGGTTTTTATTTTTCTTTGCCCTGCTGCGTCTCGGGTATTAGTTTTCACGTTCGTGCTAATGCATCGCCCGATCTCTGTTTGCTTCTTGTTCGATCTCCGAAGTTCTTTGATATCCCCATTTCTATTTTCTACAACCATTTTCATTTCATCAAGGACTCTCCTTGGGTACCTACCTGCCGCTCTTGGTGATGATCATTTCCGTGCCAATTTGATGAAACTGCTTCCAGAGATCGTCGTTCTGGAGAGTCATCTCCACGCCGGGCAGGGTGACTCGCGGTGGCATGATCACGTGGCGGGGCATGGGTATGGGCAGCATGGGCGGAAAGGGATCTGAAATTGGGAGAAGGAGTTAAAGTAGACCAAGAAATGGGGATCTTGAGATTAGGGAGGAGCTAAGTCCGATTTTGGAGTATCTTAATCTTGAAATATGATAATAATAGGGTTGCTTTAGGCAGAGATCATAGCAGACATTAAAGACATAATGTATTCTTAAAGTTAATTAAACATATTAAAGTATTAAAAATATGAAATATATTATAATATTGTTCTACATGATATTTTACTCATTTTAAAGCGTTTGAAAGGTTTTGTAATATTTTCGAAAGGACAATTTTATAATTATAATAATAATAATATTGTTCAAAATAAAATCTATGTCTTTTATAATATTTTTAAAATATTCTGATATTTTTTAAATGGCAATTTTGAAACTTATAGATTAGCATAATATAATTCATAAGGGAAGTGTCTTATATTTCTCTAAAATAAGACTCTAGTGTGTCTTTCCTTAAACAGTTAAGTTAATATTAGGTAATTCATGAATTATAACCATTTCTTCTCTAATCTTTGGTTAAAATTAAACATTAACTTGCTCTTTAAAAGATAATTAATATATCATTAACAACGTCTAACGTGAAATCTTACAAAATCAAATACAAATTCTGAAGAGGTTTGCAAATTGGTTGATTATTTAGAGCTTTATTTTGTTTTTGTTTGTATTTGTTATCATTAACAGCAGTTTATTTTTCATAAAGCATTGACAAATTGTTAAGAAACAAGAATTAATTAATTATTTACTACAAAATAAACGGTTCATGTCTCTAAGGTAACTTATAAAATAATTAAGGTACAAATAAAGAGAGTGTTCGAATCAAAGTGACCTCTTCTGTGTTTATTTTCGTTTTTATCATAAGTTATAAGATCGCTATTTTGGGAGAACAAGGAACATTGATTCTTCAACCGATTGTCAGCTTAATGCCAAACCATTAAGGATCCAATTTGGCTGGGTGATTACATGCAAAGATACTGCGTTTAAGGGGTAAGGTACGCTGATCCCGCTGCTTAACGATCGTCAGCGACAAGCAAAATGCATTTGATATCAAGTTCCCGGATCACTTTCCCACATTACTCAGCTTTATGATCGGTCCGCCATAAACACTCGAACACACACACACCGCTCACACACCCCGCTGATCTTGGCCAGAAATGGCCATTAATGCTAATGATGTTTAACGGGGCGTATGAGTGATTTGCAAAGGTATAGAGACTGAGAGCTTACCCGGTATGCGCTGCATGATCTGCTGGCGATATATCTCGTGCGCGATGTGCTGCTGCATGCGCAGATCCACCAGCTCGTTCATGGTGATCATAATTGTATATATTTAGCCTTAGCTTTGCCTTTTTTTTTGTCACTTGGTCACAATGGTTTCCACACACACACAAAGGGTACGCCCGGCGACATATGGCGGAGGGGGGCTCTTATTTTCGAGTACGAGAGTTGTATTTCTGTCACCGCGCTTCTTTTTTGGCGAGCACGAGACGCGGTTGATTAGCGTCAATTATGCAAATCAAGGCGCAAAGTCAGAGTCTCATGTGCGTGGGTGTTAATTTGATTACGACGGGGTGTCAAGTGTCTGCTATGTGGGTTATTTCGAGTGTTTTGAGTAAGAGTATGGATTTAGCCGACGGTCGTGTCTGGATCTCGCCAAGTTCGCATTTCAACTGAGCAAGTTCCGTTGCGATCCGTCGAACCGTCGATCCGTCGATCGAGCTGCAAACGAGCTTGACTCGTTTGCTTCCCCCGAGCCATTGATCGAGATTACCTGCTGCCGCCGACTCGGCGGAGGCCCCTCTCATTGGCCAGAGGGCCCTGTTAGCCATCTCGCTCTGCGTTGGCACCTCCATTTTGAAAAACCCGGGTCTCGATTTTCCAGCTGCTCTGGCTCCGCCCACGACCAGTGCGGTGCTCCGTCTTTGTCTTCTGTTATCCCGCTCTAATTGTGTTTAATTCTCAAGTGCGAAGTTGCACAGTCAGCGGAGCAGCAGCAGCCAGCAGCAGCGGCAGCAACATGTTCCCAGTTCGCCGATCGCCCTGTGTGTTGCCTTTTAATTATGATCATGATGATTGAAATTGTTTTTTCTCCGTCTCCGCTTTTTGGCATCTTTTTGTATCGTTTTTTGTTGTATTCTTTTTTGTATTTCGTGTATATATTTATGTTATGCTTTGCCCATTTGTAGCCGCCTGCCATCATGGTGGTCCTCTTGTCTGCCTCGAGAGCAGTCGTTGCCGTGTGTGTTTTGTCGTTTTGCTGATCATTTATTTCGATTTACTTCGGCCTACAGAGAGAGGAATAAATGATTATTGTTTTTGGATTAATTAATTAACTGAGTTATCTGAAAAGTTGGTTTTAATTAACAATAGTTATCAGAAAATATCTGGATTTTCTTATTGATATTAACTAGCGGTTTCTGAACGTAAAATAATTTATTAAGTATTTTTCAAAGTTCTCTTAATTAATTGGTTATTTATTTTATTCAGTAATTATAAATGCAAATTGCGAAAATGATTAGAAATAAATTAATTCATGATCTATTTGCTTAAATTAGAAAATAACTGGTATTTAAAGATTGATTTAAATTTTAAAATATGTAGTACTTCTTTAATTATAAACATTGCATTGTTTTTTTCATCAATGAGGCACAAAATAAAAAATAAGATGTTTAAAGAGAGTACATTAATCTGTATTGATTGCAAATTAACTTGTTAATACCGCTTAAACAATATGTGCTTAAGAAATGTCTTCAGAGATTTTAAATAAATTACTTTGGATTAATTTGTTTAATGTTTGGTACTCTGTGCTAAAGTTTAAATTGGTTTAAACATTTATTAAACTGACTTATTTGATAAATAATTATGTAAGCACGTAAAACTAACAATTTAATAATTGTTTTAATCAAAAGATGTCATCCTTATCAAAAAAGATCTTATCTTTAGGTTTAATGTATTAAAATCAATTCAAAATCTATCTATATCTATATTTTTATTATTATTCTATTTAAATGTTGTTTAAAAGACAGCTCTTTGAATTTTTGGTCGATTTTTCAAAGGCTTAATTAAAGGACTTTAAAAGATTTTATCTCCCACAATCTAACAACTCATCTTCGATGGAAATCTATCAGAAATCCATTTTTTCTCCGTGTGCCTGTGGAATATTATTTTAGATTTGACGCTGCGTCATTTGGCCATTGATATGGCGGCATCCCATGGCCCGATATGGCCTCGCTAGTTGCTACCACTATATGTTGTGTTTGTTACCTTCCACAGATAGATAATGCCGGTGCTGGTGCGATGCAGGTGGCGGCTGTGGTGGATTTTGACCTTTTTTGGGAGAGAGCTTGGCAAAACATTTGTTCCGAACGACGGAAACGCGTGTCTATGCTGCTTGCTTACAAATTCGTGGCTAATTAAAGTGCCAGCCGGGCTGAACTTTGACTGAAATTAAGCATGCGCCATGTGGGCCGTCGACGATGGCGAAACGTGATCGTACTCCATTTTTTCTTTATTTTGGGTCTCGTGTTTGCCTCCATTGCTATTTCCTTTCGAGATTAAGACTAAGCCCAAGACGCTTATCGGGGCCAGAAGCATTACTGCGAAATTCTTGAGGCTCCCGATGGGCAAATATGTAGTTAGCCGGGCTAATTTACACAGCACTTAGCCCGGCCTGACACATCCACGCATTATTTCCAGATATCCATAACCAGGTTGGCGGCGATAAGCGCCAGAAATTAATTTACTATTAGCAGTCCCGGCATTCTGTTCCTCTAAGTATTTCTCTATTTCTTTACTTATTTTCGCCCAAATTGCGTTTCGGCCATGTGCCGTCGTCTGCGCGTAATTTATGCCTCGCGTTTTCACATTTGGTCGCGCACACTTCCGGTTGCGTTTATTTATTTTATTTATTTTCTTCCTATATTTCCGCAGCTCCGGCTCAGGTCAGTTAGGCTCGACTGGGTTCATCGTCAGGCCATTAGGGATCGATCCGAACGATCGACCCGTCCTGGAGGGCTGCCAATAGCTGTGCAATTTGTCAGCACCCAGCTAATTGGTGCTGCATCCGCGCCCGCTGCTTGACTAATGCATTTCGGTTTACTTCCGTTTGGTTCCGGATAAATGGGCCAACAGGTAGCCGAAGAGTGCACTAAGGAAAATACTTTGTAGGTTATTAGGAAGCAACATTTAAATACCACTGACAGCATGAAGGAGTCAAGACATTTCTGGATTTTTTTTTAGTTTTATTACTCATTCTTTGGTTGACTTTTGAGGCGAAATTGTATGATATAAACCAGCATACTGATAATAGAAAATATAAAATATAATTAGTTAATGAAAATATAAAAAACTCTGATTTATTAAACAAAAAATGAAAATATAAAAAGGTATTTAATTCATTAAAGAGAGATAAACACATTTTCATAGCGAAAAGCAGGAAAATAGAAAGTGTTTTTATATAAGTATTTCATAATAAACTATTTAAATGAATAAATATTTAACATAATTTGTTTTCCAAATATTTCTAGGCAAATAAATACATTTAAATTGTTTATTTATTTTTGAATTTAGATACACTTTTCAGCCATAATAAATCTTCTAATTCTATAACCAATAAAGTCTCTCTATGAATTTTTAGGTGTTTGTAAGCCAAATTGGTCTCTAAATTTTATAGTGACTTTTTTTAAGTAAATTCTAAGACATTTCCTAATATACCCCTGTATTTTTTCCGAGTGCAGACAAACACATTCCAGCCGCTTGAATCAGCCAAGAGGATATATCCTCCCTATCTCTTTACCTATTCCTGTGGCTTGTAATTCACATTATCAATGTTTGGGTAGCATTTCAGACAGCGATTTGGTGAATCAGAGAGGTTAAGAGATAGCCTTGAACTGGTAGCCATGTAAGTGCTATATAGTACTTGCACCGGGAGTCTCGTGTCCCAGAGTCCCGGGGTCTTTCCACCCAGTTGCGAAATGAGCTCGATCTTTGGAGAGCACGAGCCCTCGGCTTCTTTCTCGCACGGCTGCTCAAATTAAAATTAGCATAAATCGTCTACGAAAGCAATGTAATTTTCCATGGAAAATATGCCCTCCAGCGGTCGTCGCAATTTATTGATTTAAACTTTTAGCTCGGATCTGTTTGAACAAGCCCTATAGCGCCTTTATAGGCGACTATTAACGGCCCGCCACTTGATCTCGCATATTTGTATTTGCCAACCAGCGAGTATCGATCGAGTAGTGAGTACTGAGTACTGAGTATCGGGTGAATGAGTAGTTCCATTGTTGCAACACGACAAAGGTCTGGAGGTCTGGCATGCAAATCTACTTTGGTATGCAAATTAAGTGACTCAATCGACATGGCGGCAGAGCAGCTAGAGCCGGAGCTGGTGACCAGGAGGCATCATAATCATCCGTGTCCATGGGGAGCCCACTCCACGGCCAGGCAGAGAGACAGACCTACTCCAATAATTGAGAGGTGTTTAATCGTGTGTTTCGTTTTTGTTTTTCTGCACATTCACGGACCCCCGAGAGACCCCATAGATTTAGGCCTTTCATTCCGAAAACGTTTCAGTTTTGGTTTCCACAACTAACATGCGGCGGAGCTACCATTCCACTCGATCGCTGTTTGCTCTCAAATTATCATAAGCAAATATGGCCAAGATGCCAGACCAGGCCAGACCTGGCCAGACGATGCGATTCAGACTCGGATTCAGACCGAAAGATGCTTCCACTTTTCAGAGCCCAACTTCAAACTGAAGTGCTAAAGTCGCTGGCGACGCGACGCTCTGAGAGGCGCTTCTGTTGTGTGGACCCTTGAGTTATTACAATATTATATTCAAATCTCAAGTGCCACCGGCTCCTCCACGTCGTCCCCGTCCCCTCGTTCCCCTGCCACCTCGTTCTCAACTCGGAGAATCTGCATATTTCCCCGGAGCATCATAGTTGTTTGTTTGCCCGCCAAGCTCATCGAGTTGGCACTCGGCGGCCGATGCGTGTTAATGGCATGTGTAATAACAAGATCATGGGCTCGAAATCGGACTTTGGAAAACAATTACGAGCAGTTGAGGGATTAATATTAAGAGCTACAGCTATTATGGAGGTTAAAAGTCCTCTTAAAATTTAAATATTTTGGAATTATTGGGCTTAAAGTCGAATTTTGACATATATTCTATAGGTTTTTATTAGAAAGTTTTGATAAATTATGTAGGACTAACATAAATAATATAAAAAGCATAGCTTATTAATTACAATATCTTGTTTTTAATTTTATTTTAGGTGAATAATCTCTTTAATATTTAAACCTTAAGCATTTAAGCCTTAAATCATGGTCAACGTATAGATATATAAGAAATGAATCAGTACATTAGATTTGAATTTAAAGTAGAACCTAATTCTACGTATAAAATATCTAATAAAAATAAAATAATTTATAACAATAATTTGAAAATAATATAAAACAAAATCTTATACAAAAAAAGACAAACTAGAATGAAATTTGATATTCCATACAATATCTCCCAGTTTCTTTAACTCCCAAAATGATGATAAATATTTTGCAAATGAGATGATCGCTCGATCAGAAAACCTTTCAACTGCCGCCAGATTGACCACAAAAGGCGAATCTCTCATGCTGCATTTCATTACTAAAATGGTGGCGAGATCAGGCCAACGCTAAAGAAGCCCAAAGATACTAGATCCAGAAAAGTTCAACGGCCAAAACGGTGACATCAA